AATTGACATAAAATTGAACGATTGAGACCTCTGTTTCATACCATTTTCAACCTATGATTTTCAGTGATTTTAAAAAATGACAACTGCCTCGCCTGAAGTGTAGTATGTATCCAACAGACCGAATATAATATTCGGTCTGTTATGATTGATATATTTCCTGTGGAAATCTCGGTGATATTTTTTGCACATAAATTTCTCGTTTATTACAAGAATGTTCACCTTGAAAATTGGTGAATATGTTGAAGAGATGTTCATCTTAAAGAGACTCTATTGAGACTTCTCTGTGGCATTTTTTCTTTATTCCTTTTTGTTTTGAATTTTTAACACCATAACATTAACTAACTACTCAATATGCAACTTTTCACCGCGTAGAATTTTAAAATTTTAAGTTTGAAAATTCCATTTTTATAATGATGCTCAATGGGAAAAACTACATAATTTGAATTATTTTCAAACGTAGCGGCGCGATTTTGATAAAATTGACAGATATAATAAATATTGGTAAGACAAAATGTTTGATGAAAAATGAAGAAAATTGACCGTCCTGGTTACGCAAACTATAGAAAAATCTGAAATAATCATAAAAACCTGTAAAAATAGATTGAAGGGGGTGATATTCATTTTAATGTGCCTTTCAGTACTACAGGGTAACCATAATTTTGGTACTGATTTGATTTTTCAATGAAAATCATTTCTATAGTGTATAGTCAGTTTAAATAATACAATTGGTATATTTCTTTACTGAACAGTGCAATCATTTATTTATTTATCAACAGTAATGCAAACTACATATTATACAGTAAGTAAAATATTAAAATAATTCTATTAAAATTAAAGCATTGCCAGAATGTGTTGACAGCTGGCAAAAAATTGAAGAATTTGAAGAAAAATAGCCACCCAAAGACACTTACACCTGCTAATTGCCACTTTGCAAAGAGTTTATTCAAGCAAGAAAACTATTTGGAAAAACGTAATTTCGGGTTGAACATGGTACCCACCACTCTGGTTACCTTAGCAACCATCTCTCAAGAACCAATCAAAATTGAGGTCCCAAAGGACCTTATACACCCTCCATTGGGATCTCCCCATGAGAAAAAATAATTTATCTGATTTTTCAAAATGAGTATTCTGCTTTAATTATTACATTTATATGCACACTAGTATCTTGTTGACCTATATTCAGCACTGTATTGATGTATAGGCCACTTATTAGGGTCATAATTCAATCATGAAGTGTAGAGGCATATGATTCCAAACCAGGAAGTATTTTTGTGTCTGTCAAAATCCATTTGCATCCTACGCATCCCTACATCTTATCCAAATATGTTACTACATTATGAAATAAAATAGTATATTCTTTGGTTTTACAAAGTTGTATGATTTTTGATAAGTGTAAAAGTTGTTTTTGGAGCATTTTTCTATAGCCATTTTGTAGGGAAAAAATGATGAAAAAATGTACAATCTTTTAATTTTAAGTATGACCTGAATCGATTGCAAACTACATATTTGCACATTTGATGAGATAAACCATTAGTGCCATATTGTGAAATTATTAAGTTTGCAATCGATTCGGCATACTCGTTAAATAGCGCCCCCGAAGACCCCTTAGAAAAAATACATAAATTAGGTATAATTTTAATCTAATAAATGAAATCTATTGTCTAAAACATCTAGAAGTATCCATAAAATGCACCTTATTATCTAATTATATAGGAAGACGATGTTCCTATAGACTAGGAAGAAGACGATGTTCCCTACATTTCGTTATTATAGATTAGGAAGAAGTGTCTTATTATAGCTCGTTAAATAGCGCCCCCCGCCATAAATCCTATGAGAAAATAACATGGAGGGGCGCTATTTGACGAGTTATATATAGGAAGACGATGATCCCAACTTTTTTTATTATAGACTAGGAAGAAGTGTCTTATTATAGCTAGTTAAATAGCGCCCCCCGCCATAAATCCTATGAGAAAATAACATGGAGGGGCGCTATTTGACGAGTTATATATAGGAACACGATGTTCCCTACATTTCGTTATTATAGACTAGGAAGAAGTGTCTTATTATAGCTCGTTAATTAGCGCCCCTTCGCCATAAATCCAATGGGGAAATAACATAGAGGGGCGCTAATTAACGAGTTATATTATACACTTATTAAACAAATTTTGTAAAAATTTAAAACAATTTTTTATATTTTTTATTTATTTATTACACACACTACAACGTAAGATTACATTCTAAAAGGGATTTATTTTTGGGGCCTTATATAAAAAAAAGGGGCAAGGTATTTTTTGGGGGAAAAATAAAAATAAAATATATATATGAAAAAGGGGCGCTATTTAATAGCGCCCCTAACATTAGGATATTAGCATTGAGGGGCGCTATTTAATAGCGCCCCTTACATTAGGATATTAGCATTGAGGGGCACTATTTAAAAGCGCCCCTAACATTATGACATTAGCATTGAGGGGCACTATTTAATAGCACCCATCGCTTAATAATATTACATTATAGGGGCATTACTTAATAACGCCCCTCACATTATGATATTAGCATTATGGGGCCACTAATGATATATAATAAAACTGAAAAGTAAATACTTAATAGCGCCCCTAACATTAGGATATTAGCATTGAGGGGCACTATTTAAAAGCGCCCCTAACATTATGACATTAGCATTGAGGGGCACTATTTAATAGCACCCATCGCTTAATAATATTACATTATAGGGGCATTACTTAATAACGCCCCTCACATTATGATATTAGCATTATGGGGCCACTAATGATATATAATAAAACTGAAAAGTAAATACTTAATAGTGCCCCTTTACATTAAAATATAACATTATAGGGGCACTATTTAATAGCGCCCCTCACATTATAATATAACATTATGGGGCCACTAATTATTAGCGCCTGTTATATAATAATATAAAATAAAATTACAAAGTAAATACTAATAGTGATCCTTTGGATAAAATATAACATTATAGGGGCACAACGTTAATAGCGGCACTCACATTTTAATATGAAATTATTGGGCCACTCCTTAGTAGCGCCTCCTTAATAATAATATATAATAAAATAACAAACTAAATACTTAATAGTGCCCCTGTGCATAAAATATAACATTATAGGGGCACTACTTAATAGCGTCCCTCACATTTCAAATTGTCACTATAGGGCCACTACTTAAAATTTTTGTCCAATGCACTTCAGAAATTAAACTTCTGGGGCCCTTTTTCCTGTCAACAATTCTACATTTACACGTCCTTCAACAGGGGCGGATCTGGGAACCAACAGGGAGGGGGCGCAAATTTCAGGTCAGAGGAAAATATTAAGGGCCCCTAAAACCAAAAAGGGGCACAAATTTGAGGCCCATTTTCTTCAAAAATTGGCTTGAAATTAAAAAATGAGGCCTTGAAAGGCCCACTTTTTGGGGCCTTAAAGCCTTATTTGGCCCAATTTTCTTTCCTGGGCCCACCCAAGGGTGAGGGAGGCCGTCCCCCAGATCCGCCAGTGTTAAAGTAATCAAACTTCAATCCTGAATCCGTGAAATGAACTAGGCTAACTGCCTATATTTAAAATTGAGCAAATCAGGCAAATTACAAGCGTCAAAATAAGTGTACGCTTATCTACAGTATTTACTTCTTCAAATTTGTCAAAATATTCATTTCACAAGTAACCACACTTACAAATTACAGTTTATGGCCCTTAATGAGGTGTCTATTGAAAGCTATTGAACTGATCTGTTTGCCTTATATGCCTTACGTAATCATGTTTTTGTTGGGAACACACCATGCTGGTAAGCATTTGATTTTGTTTGCTAAAGGAATGGAATTATACACTGAATATATCAAGGCGAAGTTTGAGGAACTAAAACCTGAGAATCAAAATGCAGTATTTAGTCCATGTTTTTAAATCTTATAACCTTGTAAATTACCTAATTAGCTTTATCAATAAAGTCCTAAAATATACAATTATTTATCAGGTTCAATATTTTTCACGATCGTTCTTTGTTGTGTTCTAAATACTGAATTGCTTGTGTATGTGGTAAAACAAAGTTACTGAAGTTAGAAAATTATCTGAAGATAGATTATTGATAAAATGCCACCTTCACGTATTTACGAACTTTGGAAGCTGATTATAGACTTAATAGGGCCTCTGAAGCAATGGCCTCATGGAATGAGAAAGAGATTCTGGACAACTAATCCCTCTCATTGGGACAGAATTCTGTTGGGGGCATTTTGCTTCGTTAATGGTGCCGATCCCCATATTGTGACTGAATTCTTTGAGATAATCACCAAAGATCCGGTGAAGACGAACCATCTGAGAGATCTGTTGCTCAAATACTTCCCCATCAAAAAATACAAGCTGTACGCGTGGAATGTATCATACCAGAGATATGAATATTTAGATGGAACTATAAAACATAGGTGAGTGTCATTAGATACAATCAAAATAACTAATTAATCAATTAATGCGCCATTAATCAATATGCTTCTCAATTATGAATATTTTTCAGATGATTTGGAAATCAAACCGTTCGATATAGCTGACATGATGACAGGATGTCCCCCGCATTGATGCCAAATAAAGATTTACAGAATGACAATATCAAAATGATAATGAAATCCATAATAAAGGTTAATTTTGAAACAACTTGAAAATACTTTAATTTGGTTAATTAATCATATTAATATTTCCGCATTATGTGAGTGTATATCTTGGCGGCAAAATGAATTTTTTGGCGGTAAATGTGAGTGGGTTCGCGCTTTTCTTATGTGTTTTCGGCGCATATTCTTCTATTTGGTGTATATAAATTGCCATTGATTGCTGAAAAGCTAATTTTAAAACAACTTGAAAAAACAATAATTGGGTTGATTAATCATATTAATATTTCCGCATTATGTGAGTGTATATCTTGGCGGCAAAATTAATTTTTTGGCGGTAAATGTGAGTGTGTTCGAGCTTTTATTTTTATTATCACATTGAAACATGCCACGGAAAGGAGAAGTTGGCAACTTCAGAAGCAGAAAAACCGAGAGTAAATATATAACAATATGTGATTTTACCAATCCATGGAATTTTTTCCAATTATTTATTGTGGGAACACAACTTGGTATATTAGAATGGCTTCAATACAATGGTTTGATTGGCGATGATTTGCCCTGTTGGAGAGAATCATGTGGTGGTTCACTGAAACTACGAAAGAAGAGTTGCATAGATGGTTATGCATTCCGTTGTAGAAAAGACAAGAACCATGAGTTTTCCCTGAGGAAGGGAACGATATTTGATAAATCTCACTATCTGGTAGCGGATATTATGGTCTTCATAAAGGTAAATATATTTTTATGTACAATTACACAAAAGCATTGCTAAGGTATGAAATCTCGTCTAACAGCCATGGCATCACCATATGAAATTTGAACTAAATCCGTGAACTATTAATTAGGTTATAAAAGATTAAGGCCGGGGTGCATGTTGGATATTTTTGCAATTTTAAAACGTAAACCACTGAATATTCTAGTATTGAAACATTCTGAAGAATTATGAACCCTCAATTCATAGTCTACGTGCACTAATGCATATTTAGTGCAAGAATGAAAGATGTACATAATGTGTGGAGTAAGTTATGTTTATGTGAAAAAAGCACATGGTCATGAAATTTCATTAAAGTGCACACTGACCCATGTAAAAAATAAAATACTATATTTGTCACACAAAATTTGACTTAGCTATTGGCCATATGTAAAACCAGAAAAACGGCAACGCCAAAGCATAGCGAATCCCATCTAACAGAAATGGCTGGCATTTTTGCAAATGAATAGCAAATATCATAAAACAACACACCAGAAAGGCCACCATTTTTTAAATGGTTGCTCACTAGCCAAGTTGTCATCAGAAGCAATAATATGCTTTTAAGTAGCCACCTCTAAATAACACACATAAAAATGGTGGCCATTTTTCAAAATGGCCGACTACTCCCCAAAGTTTTTTAGACAATGTGCCATGCTTAAAGTATTCACATATCAAATATGAACAAAATCGCTCAACTACTTTTCGAGTTATAGTAAAACACGTTAAAAGGGCGCCCATTTTTCAAATTTTTTTTCAGACGGACGGACGTACGGACGGACGGAGGCGTTCCCTATATCCCTCCGAACTTCGTTCGATGGGATAATAAATGTCACAAAGGGCCCCGAGTTATTTGTAGAATGGATTGGGGGGGGGGGGGGGTCATGCATTTCGCTAATGTTTTTTATATTAAAAACCGGAATACAGTATCATTGACTACAAGTTTACATCATATAATTAAAAAATTATTTCTCATTTTAATTGATTATTCATGGATTTACACCCAGGTATTGTTATATTAATAAAATCTACATCATTGCAGAGTTATCTTGATGGAATGAGCCTCTACGCATGCGCAATGGCCAGTGGAATGGAGTACAACAAGTGTTCGGTTGAATGGGCAAAGAAAATAAGAGCCGTTTTCATGGAGTATGTCGAGAAGTACGTCAAGAAAATGAAACTCTCTGGAACGATCGAAATAGACGAATCTCTTTTTGGGCGTATAGCTAAATACCACAAAGGTGATCCCAAAGGCATGAAAATGTGGATATTTGGCTTAATTGAGAAACTAGCACCAAAAAGGTAATGCATTTATTTTGATATGTTTTTATCATGATTATAATATTGATATTGTTTATACAATTACATTTAATTAGTGCCAAATAAGGGACCATCCCCCCCCCCGCCAATGGATCCGCCAATATGTTTAATGCTATAAAATTTTATAATTACAGACAGATTATAATACCAGTATGTAGGAGGAATAGAACTACCCTGGAACCTCTCATTAAGCAGTACGTCGAACTGGGTTCTCAAATATTTAGCGACAGCTGGAAGGCGTATGCCAGTCTAAACGACGAAGGATACGAGCATTTCACGGTAATAAATATCAATTTATATTCATTATCTATGTATTTTAAGTATCCATAAACTATCGAGCCGTGATACTCGTTGTCTCATTGGTCAAATAGATACCACGTGGCTAAAAATATATTGAGGTATTCCATGTAAGTTAAATTTAGATATCTTGTTAATTGTAACATGTAACATTATAACATGAATTGTAATGACAGTATGAATAAAATGTCCCTTGGTCTTCTGGTCTTGGATTGTGATATTTATTCTTGAATGGTGGGGGAAAGGGGGTATTAGACATTGTTTCTTTTCACGTTAGATCATGGTTTTGGGCTATATGGGGTCTGTTTTTCTTGACTGGTATGCATTTACAGTTTGCTTTTTCTTGCTAAGTTCCATTACAAGTTTTGGTCCTTTCCCGTTGGCACTAGTGCTTATATATTTGTATTATTTTTTATATTCAGGTAGTTCACAAAACAAACTTTAAAATGAAATACAAGAACCAAGCGACCGGGGAAACGATTGACGTCCATACCAACACCATTGAAGGACGATGGAAACACGACAAAGACCATTTCAGAAAGATAAATGGAACAAGTTTATCTAACTTTGAGGGTCACCTAGCAGAAGTTATGTGGCGATCCCATGTACAATGCCTGCATAAGAACAAGTAATTGTCAAGTCATTTAAGAAAATCTTAAAAAGCATTTCCATGTATAGATAATAAGGCTCATACATTGTATTTAAATTGTAATGGCAAATATTATAAAATTCACCTTATTATCTAATCATATCCACAATTGATATAATTAATCATAATTAAATGCCAATATCTTATTCAGCATTGATCATTATACAGACAATGTCAATATAATGACATTTAAATCAGATTTAAAATTATATAGATTTCTTATATGGAATTTAAATAGATTTATTATGACCAGAACATTAATTTTGTAAGCATCTAAACACCTGTCTGTCTTGAGTTAGTGATACATGATACAAAACTGATGAATTGTTATTACAGATATCAAGCTTTCTTCGATATCCTTAAGGAGATATACACTACACGAACAAGTTCACCTACGTACACATACACCAAGCCATTGTTCAATCACGAAGGATGCTGGGGAATGGTATAAATACTATTATACTAAACATATCACATTAACATTAATTTTTTATAATTATAAATATTTATGGTTTCTGAGGTATGCTTACAATCAGAGGTATTGATGCTTGTAGATAATGCTTGATCAAAGTTTGAAGTTTGAAGATAACATAAAAAAGTAAAAATCAAAAATATGATTTACAGCGCTTGCATTAGGTTAGATAATTTGTGAGTCCCAAGGACGGAATTTTTTTTAAAAAGTGTGTCCTTTGAAAAAAAAGTGTGTCCCCTATTTCTAGTCATATTTTCAGTTTTTGATTTCTTGCCGCGAATTTAAAATGGAAGTAAACGTTAAGTACGGACTGAATAAATGCATGTTCGTTCATTCGACAATGAATACATTTTATTTCATGAATAACGTAATATTTGTTTCTGAATATGAAAAACTGTGGCGTGTCATGGTTTCAAATCTAAAAGTAAACAAAGTTGAAAAAATTTGAGAGAATCATGATTATTTGTAAATATTCAACATGTTGAGCCTTATTCACGATTCAAATAAAGGTGACAGATCATAATTATTTGTTTTTGTTAGGTATCCTTGTAAACACATTGTAGTATTGACCTAAAAAAATTTTGCGTCCAAAAAACGGAAATATTTTCAATTTTTGCGTCCTCCAAATTATTTTTGAGTCCTTAACATGTACGGGACGCCGTTAATGCAAGCCCTGATGATTCACTAGAGATATATTTCACCCTACTGTCAATCAAAATGATGGTATATTTCTTACGGGTATTATAACATTTAATATTATTTCAATAAACTCATTTCAGGATGACTTGTCAAAGATAGACACCACCACTATCCACACCATTGAGGATCAGATGAGAGTAGATGAGGAAGAAGGTGATTATAATTTTCTAAATATAGTGAAGCATTAATTGGATTCAAACATGACTGTCACTTCTTCTATAAACTGTTAAAAAAGTTCACCCCTATTTGTTAGTCTATACAATACCAGATTATATGAGTAATATGTGATGTAATAGTGGCGGCCCATAAATGAATAAAAAAAAATTTTGCTGAATATTCGTTATGATTGTAAGATAGATCTCAAATCAGTATTTATATGGAGTGCATTAGGGCTATAAACAAAATGTTTTGAACAGAATGTGATGATTTTAAAAATATAATTTTTATGCAACATTAAGGTAACTTTACATGTGGTCATATTCATTTATGAATCATTTCATGAACTATATTTAATTAAATACTAGAAATAGTAATTGAAGCAGATGAGCAGACTGTAATATTGTCCGTGAAAGAACAGGTTGAAAGTGATGAGAGTGAAGATGGTCCTCTATCAGGCATCAGTACCCCTGAAGGTAAGCATATTGTCAATTTTTATAAAAGTCAATTGTGTGAATATGATCTAAATTGTATTATTGGCCCTGTTTAAGTTATCCTTGATGAGGGAATAATTTATTTTTTAAATGACACGTTTTAAATTTTTTAAATTCTTAACATTAATTAGCTTTCAAATTAGGCGCCATAATCTAAATTGTAAGATAAATCCTATTTATTGATTTTTCAGATGTTTTAAAAAATATCAAAATTCTTAATTTTAGTTGACCCAAGCCTGCATGATCTTCATGGAAGCTTTGATATTGATGATGTGGAGATGTCTACAATAGGACCAGTGAAGGGCGAACTGTTTGTAGGCATGAAGGTGCAAGAAGGTCCGGATGATGAGCAGGTCATTCTATTGCTTGAAGGTATAAATCTGAAAAAAAAATTAAACAAAACTCAAAAGATACACACACTTGTAATGTTAAAGATTTCAGTATATTACTATATACACTCTCAATAGTTAAAATGTGGAATATTGGGCAAATCATATGCAAGCATTATGGTTGTAAAATGTGAAGTTAGAAAATTTATTTTTACTCATTTATCCCTAGTGTTGATGAAAAATAATGTTAAATCTCAATAATTCATGTAGAGATATTTGAAAAGGAGGAAATTAAGGTTTAATTATTACAAAATTACTTATTTATGATAACAGTGTATATGCTTTTCATATGAGGATTTCAGGTGATTAGCAAACATTCATAGTTTACTTAAGCCCACAAAAATGTACTAACTGACATAATATGAACAGGCCCTTAGCGAGGGGGGGTCAAGCGAAACTCACTGTGGCCATAATATATTTAAAAATAATAATGCAGTATTTCACCATTCTAAGCACTTTTCCAATGATTTTGTGCAATTTTTGTGCCACTTTTGTAAAACGTGAACCCCCTATAATTTTTAAAATTTTAGGAGATAAATCACCTGGAAGTAAGGGTCCCATCCACAGCACGCCACGTGTGAATCCAACTAACATTGCTGTTAATGCTAACAGGGGCGCACCTACAGAGACACCAATTGCAAGGAACCCACATGCAGCATCAGTGGCTCCTAGTTCATCAGCTGTTCATGAAAGTATAGGTAAATCGAGCAATATTAAAAAATATTTAAATTTATTGAAGTGTTACAAGGCATTGAAGAGAAAATTACTGGTCATTGGAAATTATTCCATATTTCTGATGAACAGTGGGTGGGTTGTGATTATCATATATCATTTGACATAATTAGCAAAGATAGATACTTTCCTTAAGCCCTGATATGGACAAACATTTACTAATAGTACAGTTTTTCATATATTGCTTTTGAAATCTCTATAATTTCATTTTTCTTAAGATTTTAAGAGATTTGCCGATTAATAACACACATTTCTAATAATTTTAATCATTTAAAACTGTCCTATTGATATAACATTATATTATTTCATTTGCATGTTAAAAAGGTGAAATGTACATATTTATAAATTTTCATTTTAGGAGATAAATCACCTGGAAGTAAGGGTACCATCCACAGCACACCAATTGCAAGGAACCCACATGCAGCATCAGTTGCTCCTAGTTCATCAGCTGTTTCTGAAAGTACAGGTACAGGTCAGTTCTTGTTTTGTCATTTCCTGTTAAGTATCATAGCACCTTAAGTGAATATCAAAAGCAACAATTATCAGGATTATAGCCAATATTTAGCCTAACAATCAATGCTGACTATTATATATTGTTTAAGATATTTCAAATAAGTATGTCCTGTATGTACAGAATGTTGATCCAAACCTCATAAAGCCACATGTTACTTGAAAATTGCCACACTCCTTTTCCACATTGTGTACACTGATGTTATGCAAAATTTGGGGAAAATGGGATTAATATTACAAAAATAACTTGTGACTATTCAGGATTGCATCAGCATTCCTAACATAGAGAACAACCTTAAATGCAATATTATAATGATATGGATATATTTAAACATATATTTTTAGAAACTCAAAGAAGATACTTCAAAAAAAGAGGCATCATTTGTCCTCGAGGTTGGACATTTCAAGAAAGACAAAACAACATTGTTCCTAATTTAGTTTCAGGGGCCAGGCCAAAGACGACTGTTAAGAAAACTAAGACACCAAGGCCTAAGAGATCCAGGACAGTGAAAAAAATGGACTCATTTGTTTACGACTTCTCTTCAGATTCAGATTTTGAAGAAGCAACACCAAGATCACAAAATAAATAATTCTTTGTAGCCAACAGATAAATTAAGACTCAGAGTGGTTTATTATTATGAAGTGTTAATGCAATTGTTTTGAAATATTAAGGTCAGGATGCATGATGGGAAATTTTCTGCATTACTCAATTGAGTGACATGTTATTTTTCCCAACATTATCTACATCTTCCAGATTTGCACAAAGAGTGCACTTATATGCCAAGAAAATAATTGTGCACAAGACTGTTTTGACAAAGTGTATAAAAAACAAGAAAATTCTAGTTTTTTATACAATTTACAAAACATCCCTTCTCACAATTCTTTTCTAAGTACATATGTGCACTCTTTGTGCAAAACTGGTAGATGTAGATAATGTGGGGAAGGAGTGATTCTTGTTCAAAAAATAACATGTCACTCAATTGAGGAATGCTGAAAATTTCCCAACATGCACCTGGCCTAATGCAAGTGAATATGTATAGATCTACCATATAAATAAAAAAATATACATCCCTACATATAATAATATGTTTTTTTACTTCTTTATTATAACTGAATGCAACCTCAGGCATACAATGCAACCCCTACCATATAGCACTAAATTACAATTTAGAATTGTCCTGTCCTCATCCTCACTGAAGTAAAATTATATTTTTGTGAACACATAACAAATTATATATACTGTTTAAATCTTCTAGATTTGCATAAAGAGAATATTTTCCTAAAATTTAAACCTAAAAAAACACCACTTGTAAAAATCAATGTAGGTCTATGTGAAAATACAAGCGAGTAGGTAAAAATCCCCCAAGGAAAATCCATACTTACTAGATTACCTTAGGCCATTTATTGTTTGCAATGTTATGGTATTTCCAGGGGTACGGTATTTAAGCAAATAATTTACATACCTGTTAGTTTTGGTAGGTCCCATCAGTTATCAGTTTCCAAGATGCTACTCGAATATTGTATTACTTGACACCATTTCACTGTGTTGTTTATCAGTAATAGCTCCTAGGGTTATCTTATATTCCTAATGTAATGAGGCCTATTGTAGTCTAGTTTAAAATCTCTACTATTTACTTTGATGTAAAGCCACTCGTGTACATTATAAGTATGCCAATAATAATCTAATGATGAGACAAATCATTATTCCATTCGTCGCTTTGCGCATTTTGAAAGAGCGTGTGCTCATGTCTGCGGTTACACGTGAAAGGAGGATATCTTTTCTCGTTATATCAATTCATACTATTTGTTTATGCATAAATAGATTGACAGGCGCTGTCTACTCTAATTCATCTAGGAGCTTAAATCTTATTGGTTCCACGTCTTTGTAGGCGTGTTCACGCAATTACACTGACCGGAGTGTTTCAGTGGAGAATATGACTTCTAATATCTATACGCAATAAATACCCCTTTTCGTGATTGTTCCCATGTGATTCTCACATCATTGAAAGTTTCCTTCTTAAATTTATCTCAAAACTTAAAAAAGTAAATTTTATTCCTCTCAAATTCATAGATATATCCATGTACAGTTAAATTATTTCGAATTAATCCCTCGTGTCCAATGTATGAATACTTCATATATTTGAGTTTGCATAAAACACCGTGCATCTAGTCACGTACACCAATTCTTCAAACTGACCACTAGGCCATTAATTTTATATATGTGTTGAACGTCCTACAATGTTTTATTCCAATATCACTGATGAATAAAATACAGATTTTAATTATATGAACATGTGTGACATGTTATTGCCCAATAGTTTTTATTATAGACTAGGAAGAAGCAGGGCTTGCATTAACGGCGTCCCGTACATGTTAAGGACTCAAAAATAATTTGGAGGACGCAAAAATTGAAAATATTTCCGTTTTTTGGACGCAAAATTTTTTTAGGTCAATACTACAATGTGTTTACAACGATACCTAACAAAAACAAATAATTATGATCTGTCACCTTTATTTGAATCGTGAATAAGGCTCAACATGTTGAATATTTACAAATAATCATGATTCTCTCAAATTTTTTCAACTTTGTTTACTTTTAGATTTGAAACCATTTGAAACTATTCAGAAACAAATATTACGTTATTCATGAAATAAAATGTATTCATTGTCGAATGAACGAACATGCATTTATTCAGTCCGTACTTAACGTTTACTTCCATTTTAAATTCGCGGCAAGAAATCAAAAACTGAAAATATGACTAGAAATAGGGGACACACTTTTTTTTCAAAGGACACACTTTTAAAAAAAATTCCGTCCTTGGGACTCACAAATTATCTAACCTAATGCAAGCGCTGAAGAAGTGTCTTATTATAGCTCGTTAAATAGCGCCCCTCTGCCATAAATCCTATGAGAAAATAACACGGAGGGGCGCTATTTGACGAGTTATATATAGGAAGACGATGATCCCAAATTTTTTATTATAGACTAGGAAGAAGTGTCTTATTATAGCTCGTTAAATAGCGCCCCTCTGCCATAAATCCTATGAGAAAATAACACGGAGGGGCGCTATTTAACGAGTTATATATAGGAACACGATCTTCCCTAGATTTCGTTATTATAGACTAGGAAGAAGTGTCTTATTATAGCTCGTTAAATAGCGCCCCTCTGCCATAAATCCTATGAGAAAATAACACGGAGGGGCGCTATTTAACGAGTTATATATAGGAACACGATGTTCCCTAGATTTCGTTATTATAGACTAGGAAGAAGTGTCTTATTATAGCTCGTTAAATAGCGCCCCTCCGCCATAAATCCTATGAGAAAATAACATGGAGGGGCGCTATTTGACGAGTTATATATAGGAACACGATGTTCCCTAGATTTCGTTATTATAGACTAGGAAGAAGTGTCTTATTATAGCTCGTTAAATAGCGCCCCTCCGCCATAAATCCTATGAGAAAATAACATGGAGGGGCGCTATTTGACGAGTTATATATAGGAACACGATGTTCCCTAGATTTCGTTATTATAGACTAGGAAGAAGTGTCTTATTATAGCTCGTTAAATAGCGCCCCTCCGCCATAAATCCTATGAGAAAATAACATGGAGGGGCGCTATTTGACGAGTTATATATAGGAACACGATGTTCCCTAGATTTCGTTATTATAGATTAGGAAGAAGTGTCTTATTATACCTCGTTATATATATATATAGCCATATATAGGAAGCCGATGATCACAATTTTTTTTTATTATAGACTAGGAAGAAGTAAACTAGATAATAAGGTGCATTTATATGAAATTATTTTCAATCTATTTATTATACACTAGGAACAAATTGTGCTGGCCTAATTTTTGGTGATTTTGATATAGGAACACGATGTTCCCTAGATTTCGTTATTATAGACTAGGAAGAAGTGTCTTATTATAGCTCGTTAAATAGCGCCCCTCCGCCATAAATCCTATGAGAAAATAACATGGAGGGGCGCTATTTGACGAGTTATATATAGGAACACGATGTTCCCTAGATTTCGTTATTATAGACTAGGAAGAAGTGTCTTATTATAGCTCGTTAAATAGCGCCCCTCCGCCATAAATCCTATGAGAAAATAACATGGAGGGGCGCTATTTGACGAGTTATATATAGGAACACGATGTTCCCTAGATTTCGTTATTATAGATTAGGAAGAAGTGTCTTATTATACCTCGTTATATATATATATAGCCATATATAGGAAGCCGATGATCACAATTTTTTTTTATTATAGACTAGGAAGAAGTAAACTAGATAATAAGGTGCATTTATATGAAATTATTTTCAATCTATTTATTATACACTAGGAACAAATTGTGCTGGCCTAATTTTTGGTGATTTTGGATTTTTTTTAAATTTTTTTCCAAGGGGTCTTCGGGGGCGCTATTTAACGAGTATGCCATCGATTCAGGTCATAGTGTATTTTTGGTATTTGTGTGATAATCAATAGAAACCAATGGCCTCTATTGGGATCTGCTGATATCCTCATGTTAAGTCAATGAAGCACAGCCCCATGTAAGGCAATACAACCTTACTAAACTAAATGGCCCCCCTATCTCAGCCTATGTGTGCCCGAGCATTTTAATATTTTCCAAAGAGTTATACCTTATTAGATGCAGTGAAGGAGTTAAATCATTGGGATCTGAATAAATCATGCAAAACATGTTTTGTACATATTTCTCATCATTTAGGGTTACCAAGTAGTTTACAAGCTGACCTTTGCAAAATATATTTCACTTACTATCCTCATTCGCTATCACCCTATCTAGTTTCTTTCCAAATTGGCCTGGATTGCCTGGTTTATTGGTTTTAGCGAACCGTCCATTTCGTCGAACCATCATTTTGCTAAGGTTGTTTGTGATGAATATACAATATTCAGTTACATATAACTGTACAGCAACTTCATGCAAGGGAAGGTAATTGTGTGAGAGCACATAAAGTACATGAAGTATTGACCCACTTGTCTCAGTGAATCTTATAAACAGTGCATAAAGTTTTTTCTATGCAATGATTGGCTCACAGTTACTTATAGTGTAAGTTATTTTATTTCTATACAGTGTGGAATAGAGTGTATAAACTTTTACAGTTTCAAGCAGGTTTTAGTGTTTTCTGACCAATGATATATTCAGACTTATTCATTTCACGATTATGTAATACTGACCTACATATCTGTATAGCATATCTTTAAACTAGAAGCAAAAATATTTGTATAAGGCGGGTACAAGTTGATATAAAATAATGAAATGTTCAGACTCACCAAAACTTCAGGATGTGTTTATAAGTACATCGCGAAATCAATGTCAAGGACGTTTGAGTTCACGAGATTCAAACGAGATATGCAAATTTTGAACTTTGACAACACATGACCACTTGATTACCTCGGCCTTCTTCATGAATATTTCCGCTCTATTTACATGATTTACTATAAATGAAGAAAATTAATCGGGATAATGATAATAAATGACTAGATCTAATAAATTCCCGCACAAATGGAATTTATCAACACGCTTCCGTCCGCTCCACGTGTTATTTATTTACAAATAGACTGACGTCACTGGCTAAATCTCGTTTATCGTGAGAATTGGCATTGCCAAAATGGCTTGACCTAATCAATGGCTTCGCTACAAGAAGCGTCTGTACATTTTATGAATATCTTCAGTAAGAGGACAATATACGAAAAAATAATATTGTAAGTACTTTATAAGGTAATCATTTTATTATTTAACAAACTTATTTGTAACATTTATACAACACCACATTTTACAATAGGTGACTTACAGTCTGAATATTTATTCAGACGAAGGATACAGTCTAGCCTGAAGTGGCACAGAGGTTACCCTACAGATATCTCTACTGTTCATAGTCAGTATGCATTTATGATTTGGCGCAAGAAGAAAGTTAAGATCATAACTTGGGCCTAAATCATATATGTAACTGCATAGTGACTGTGCTACTGTTAATATTTTGAAAATTAGTTTGCAACATCAATTCTCTCTCACTGGCTTTTACCTTCTAAGGCCACTGTATCATGGCCTTCATTCAAAGATAAATTCCTGCATGTATAACGGGTCATGTTGTAATCATAAAATTTGAAATCAAATTTCCGCCATTTTTCCACATCACAATTTGAATTGCGAGTTTTCATCTTATTAGTCTACCTCACCAAAAATTCCAAAACACAAATGAAGTGATCAATGTATTAGTTCACATCTTCTGGATCGCTAACTTAGAATTTACAGCCAGTTACTAATGTTAGACATTAAAGACACTTTGTCCATTTTTCGAATATCACCATTTTTTGGAGCCATTTGTTTTGATTTTAGACGAAGTCATGCAATATCTCATCAAGGAGCCCAGCCGGTCCCATTTAAATTAATGATTTATTTATCTGGCGATTTTAAAACTATTCGATAAAATTATGACACGCCGGCCAGCTATTGACAAATTTAATGTCATCCCATATAACTTGATACTGCAAGATGTTTTGGACAGATGATACTTTTTAACCATTTCAATCATTTCAATCGATACATCTTGGTAAATGAAATTGTAGTTTCCCTGCTTATACATGTTTCGCCGTTTCAAGCATTTCAATAAATTTGCCTGAATTATTTTCTCTTTCATTTCAACCATTGCCACCATTTCAAGCAGGTCAGCCGTTTTGCCCCTGTTTCAAGCATTTCCCCTGGCATTGCATACAGGACTAAGTAGATGAGTAGGATCAATTGTTGACTGTCTAAGTTGCAAATAGTTAAATTCTGTGCTAATGTAACTTCAAATAGGCACATATTTTTGAGGCACGGGTCAAAATAGGAAGATCAGTATTTCTGTATCTGTCACCTAAAACGCCAATGACCTTAAAAACAAATGATTGATGATGCACCACCTTAAAAAGATGAATAAGCATTGCTTAAACCTCATAACATATTCTATTGGATTAATATTTATGGTCTCATGCCTCATTCTTCAAAATTTAAGTTATAGCCTGATTAAACTTGTTGAATAGACAAGATACCTAATGCAGATTACCCCTCTGAAATATAAATTCATTGATATGGCAGTCACACATGACAAATAGAATATTTTGAAATTGATAGAAAAAATATATTAACAGATTATAGTTCAGTGGTAGAGCAATCACCCAAAAAGCAAGGGGTCATGGGTTCGATCCCCACTGGGATGGATTGACTTTTTCACATCAGCCCTTAGCAAAGGATTTCATTTTGTGTTTTGATTAACAAATAAAAAACAAGATTGTACTATGTTATTTGATATGTAAATATTGCACATTATTCAAAAATATTGCAATTTGCAGCTATAAAGATGTTAACATTAAAACATGAATGTGAATACAATTTAAAAGCACAGCCCCCAAAAATGCTTCACTAACCTATCAATTTATCCATGTATTCTTGGTGCTGTGCTCTAAGTTGAATACAAGCTGGGCTCGTAGTGAAATATAGGTTTAAAAGCCAGTTTGTATCAGTTAAGTAAAATCAATACTATGATTCATTAAAAAATTAATTAAAGCCAAGAAAATTTTCAAAATCATTTAACAATGAATTAAGTAGGATTTTTGTTGATAGAATCTACCGTATTTCAGTATTTTAGCAATCAAACATGAATAAACGGAATTTACATATATAAACATTTTGAAATGTTTATGAGAACATTGTAAATGAATAACTATAAATGAATAAAGCAAGCAACAACATCATTAATTTCAGTAAGAGTTCATCCTAAACTATTGACTTTTTATTGGTAAATCAATTTCAATTGCAGAGTGAAGTAAATACTAATCATTAAAATATTAACACTGAATATGTAGTATTCTGTATAGATCTGTGCAATGTCTCCACACCCTCTGATTCATCCAATTTTAACAATTTCTATTTTTGCAGTAGATTATAGCTAAGATGTTACGATGCCTGTGTTGAATATACAAGCAGTGTTATCAGAGGTGTTAGAAGTGCGTGAAGGGCCACTTAGTGAACCTGAGCTTTGGAGTATACTATGTCTTGGTACAGAGGCCCTTCAGGATTTATTCTTAAAAGGTGGGGTATAATGAGAAAATAGATAGGGAACGATTTTATAGGTCTATGCTAGAGTGCATCTAGGACATGCTTTAAAACAGTGCATTGTACAATAGATCAAGTGATTTTTTGTACAAGCTTTCTTGGGTTCTACTACTTATATCAAGTAATGCATAATGTAAATATTGTTCAATTACAATTACTTTTACCAAGATATGGTGACAAATTGTTAAATCCAACATTTTTTGTGACTTGCATCTGTTGTAAAACTGTTTGCAATAACTTACTCTATAATTTTCTAATGTCAGTACCTTGTCTTTATATTATAGCCTAGTACACTAGTTTAATATTTGTGGCCTTACATTGTCACAAGCTATATACCATATGAAAGCTATATTAATGTTATTTGGCATTGTTTAGATGTTGGTGCTGGACATCATGAGAGGGGGCCAAAATTTGCCATTACTCCCTCCTCTCTAACTCTTACCCACAATGGTAGGGTCAGATTTGTTACTACCCAAGGGCTTGATTCCCTGTCCCCTGACAGCCAGTATATCCCACCAGATATGGATGATGTGGAAATGAATGAAACTAACATTGAGAAGGTAGTAATTATATGTCATGTTAAGCTTGATATCGAATTAAAGAGAATTGAAAGATGTCAGGGTAATCTGGCTGATGATGAAATATATATAGATAAATAAATAGACAAAATAAAAAGATTAATGAAAAAATAGATAAATAAATGAGTCCATTGGGTTTTGTATCCATTGTACATGCAAATCTACCACATTATGAGATGAAATTAAAATGGTTAATGTTTTTTAGACTACATATATCCAGGGCAGCTATTAAATCATGAAGTTTAACATCCCTAATTGATCAGAATGTCCTAAACTTGTGTGACTGAATCATATGTTTAATGTATAGTTTTTGCATTATTTGTAGATGTACGTGTATATGTTGGGCATGACCCTCTACTCCGCAGCTGATTATACCCTACAAGAGTCTGAGGTATGTCAAAATCCATCTAGAAAATAAGGAAGGGTAACTTAAGAAAGAGAAAGGTCTTGATAAGCCATATGTTAGGGATGATGTCAAAATGTCAACAAATTTGTAAAAAAGTACAGGGTGTCCCATAAAGTCTCCTTGCAGTTTACATAGACTTTGTATTGTAACTTTAAGGAGACTTTATGGACACCTTGTAGTTCACAAACAAAGCATTGAGCCTGGTGACATTGAAATATTATTAACATATAATTTCAAAGATTGATAGTGAGCACCATGTCATTAATGGGTTTTCATCAATCATCAAATAAATGTTAAGCTCTGAATTCTATTGTCTCATTTTGTATAGTGTATATTTCTACTTTGTATTTAGTATCAAATGCACTGTCTGTTTTGATATATCTATAAAATCAGAAATAAATTGATATAGAAAAAAATATCCTCTTGAAAACTGCCAAATGAAATAGACGTCAGTATGTCCCATATCCCAAAAATCATCTTATTAAGTAGCGCCGATACATTACACAGTATTGAAGATGAATAAAGGATACGTGCCATTAAAGTAAGTAAATAACCAAATTAAGAAGCACGATTTTAAAGATGAATAAAGTATGCATCCCATTAAAGTAAAATAAATGATTTCAGACCCTCAATCTGAGCAAGCAGCTTGATCAGTTACTATGTGGTATGTGTGAGGAGGAGACTAACAACAGAGTTGCCTTGGTGCATGTTCTACAGGTAAGCTATAGTAATTTGGCCTCTAGTAATGCCATCTATAACAATACATATTTACATTTACTCTCAGAAAAAGGGAAAGGGAACCCAGCTCTCAGAAAACATGAGTGAAAATCCCAATATTAGAAAACATTTTTTTGAGTTTTATATTTATATGGATTTAACTGTCAAACTGTTATTGTAAAGTTCAGCTAAAATACTCGTACTATTCATATATTTAATCTTTATATAAAACAGTACAATTTGATGATTTTGATTTCAGGCATGCAGCACTGAAGGACCTTTACATCTTAATCAACTCTCATTTGTTCATTACAACATACAAATGTACAAGCTTTTGTTAGGAAGTCAGGAGGTAAGAACAAGTTAGATATTATATAATAAGTTTAGCAAGTTAGCCTACTCATTGTTGGTTTATATATGTAATTATACCAATGCATTTGGATTCAGGAGTCATTCTTTCATATCGAGCAAACTATAAATTTCAAAAGTGTTACATCTACCTCTATGTAAAGCCATTGGATATGAAGTAACTTGGAGACATGTTGATTTGGATATGACTTGACTCGGAATAAATCTTGAATCACCCACCCACAGCTTAACTCATCCCTATAGTTAGTATATTAAATTCCCAGGAGACCTAGTATTCCTCGTTAAGTAATAGTTATATAAAAAATGATATAATGAATATTTTCAACAAATAATTTACGGTTGAAACTGAAGGTTAAAGTTTTATTTGTTAAAAAGTGTTTGTGATTTCAATTAATTATAAAGTAATGTTTAGTGTTAATGTCTGTTTTAAGGTTATATCGACCCATTTTCAATAAATGTACAATTGAATTTAGATTTTTACATATTTAATCTTCAATTTCTTCCATATTTGATCAAATATCTCACTCCCTTTTTTCAGGTAGTCCATTCAGAATTTCAAGGGAAATAGGCTAAACATTTTGCTTACTTTATAAAAAGATTGCTTCCTATGTTACACTCCATATGATATACCATTTGCTACCACTTTAAATAGAACAAATTCAAAATCAATAAACACATTATCCCCATCTGAATAATTCAATTAGTCTTGTAAAAAATAGTTATAAAATGCATTGTTGTAAGCTATGCATTAAAATTGTACAATCCCTTTATAATTCTAGCTGGATTTATTGCCAAATTCTGAAGAGGGGAGTCCAGTCTCAAATGCTAATGTCTCAAAGCACTCATCTGTGAATGCAGCTACTCAACACTCACCCACTGACCTTTATAGTAGTAGGTCAAGGTCAAATTCAAGGTCAAGGTTAGGAGGATATGGTAAGTTTATGGTAAATTTTATATGTAAAATTTACACATGTGGTTGAAATTGAGGAATTGTAGAATTATAAAAATCATAAAATTTTGTTGTGGTGATTATTATAATGAAATTATGCTTTATAGACGATATTCAGGTTTGTAACTTGAATTCTTGAGGAGAATAAGCCAAGACTTAGTAATATATCGGAATTTCACAAAAACCAATTTTGAAATTGCATGATTTTTTTTACTTAAAATTTTGAATTGATATCATTTTTTATTTCAGGAGTACATCCATCTTCAAGCAGCCGGTCTCATTCTTTGCCAAATAGTAAAAAGAAAAATGGCGCTCTAATGGATCGTTACATTCATGACACTGCCAGAACATTACTTCACAGAGACAGTCTTGAAAGCTCTGAAGACTATAGTAACACAAAATACAGAACTCTGTCTCCTCGGCAAAATTCTCATAAGCATTTAAGAGGATCTCATAATTCTTCAAACAATATATCAAATGGGTCTTCAGCACAAGGCAGATCTTATCATTTGTCAGATATTTCATTAAATTCCAACCCAAGTCATTTACAAAGTCGGACATTAGGGATTTTAGAGGCAGGTAGACAGTCTCGGAAATCTAGACACGATACATATAAACGTTTAAATGAACGGAGAAAAAAATTGCTAATTTTACGGCGTGGACTTGACATTGAAGATTATACTCAGGGAGATGTTGTATCCCTCGCTAGTTATTCAACTGATTATGGGGACAGAAAATCACTGATTTCAGCAACATCATATACACATGGTATGATTTTATATTTATAGCCTGTATTATTGTTCTATTAAAATTGTCGTTTTCTATATCAGAGTTCTTTCCGAATCTCAATCTACAATATCAATTGCCTTATAAGGACTCTCAATAGATGGCAAAATATCCAGTGGATTTAATTATAAACTTTAACATGTAAAAATGCTTCAAAAATCTCCTAAATTTTATTTCAAAGAAAATATCCAAAACCTCATGATAATAAAACTTTAACATTGTCACCCACTCCATTTTCAATTTTTTTATAAGGAAACCTCATCCAGTTAATGTAATTTGATCCATGAAAAAGAGAACCAGCCTTAACTAAACTGTCAGAAAGTGACAATATCCAATGCTTATTGTTCACTGTTAAACACCTGTTTCAGGTAGCTACAGGCCAGATCTTTACCTGAAATATGACTTATTGTTCACTGTTAAACACCTGTTTCAGGTAGCTACAGGCCAGATCTTTACCTGAAATATGACTTATTGTTCACTGTTAAACACCTGTTTCAGGTAGCTACAGGCCAGATCTTTACCTGAAATATGGCTCAGATGTGGCGCTACATCTAGCAAGAGGTGTAGGTCAGGAAGATAGTGAGTCAAGTGATGAGGATGATGTCTCATGGTACCAGCGTGTACACGAAGCTCAACAGAAACAAAAATCAAGGTCAGTTTTTGATGAAAAATAACTATGAATTATAGCAGAGAATTTTTTCATTAAAAATAAATATTGTGCTGATAATTTAAATTTTTACTTAGATTGCCATATCTTCATAAATCCCTCTGTTTTGTTGTGTCTACATATAACTTACAAATGTGCTACTAAATTACTTATTGTACATGGTTTCTACATACTCGCTGTAAACTCATTGAGTTCTGGTTTGACACCGCTTTAGTCTTTTGTTATTGTACTCATCAATTTTCAGGCCGCAAGCACCTATGTATGATAACTCAAAAAGAAGGACTAAACTTCCCAGACCTTATACTCCCACTCAGGATCCAAGTAGTAAGAAAAAGAAGAAAACCGCAGGCCCCATGGTTGTGTCTAAAACACAAACTAAAGGAGAAAATAAAGAAAATACAAAACCAATACAAAAGAAGAAGGTATGATGAAATGTTCCTTAAAATTGTGTACTTTTAGAGTAATGATCTATATAGTATAGAGTGAATAATTCATTTCTATTTTGTAATTTGAAGTGTGTGTATATACTGTATATCCACAGGGTGAGCCAAAAAAGGTAACCCAAACTAATGTTAATAACTAACTAATGTCATTCAGCATGGGTTTTAGGTCATAGATGGCACAATTAAATTTTGTTCAATGCTTTTTCATTCTACCAAGTTTTTCGGTCTATTTTCAATGATCATGATTTCTTGTGTAATGGCTCACATCTTCCTGCTGCTCTCTTGTTTCAATGTTTCAAGGGTTGTTAGTGCAGACATGAGCCCCGCAGATAAAAATCTAATGAGATTTATGTCCAGTGAGTGTGGCATGTCTCAGCATTTGGAGCATGTTTTGTTAATAATCATAATATTGTGATCATTTGACATAGACCAATGAAACTTAGTGGAAAGAAGGGACATTGAACAAGGTTTAATTGTGTTTTAAACCCATGCTGAATGACTGAGTTATCAAAATGTATTTGTTTGGGTTACCCTTTTTGGCATACCTTTATTGAGCTAATTTCCTTCAATGCACTGTACTAGGGATTTTTAAACTCGCACATGACAGATCACTTAACATTCTAAATATGAATTTAATTATTTATCTTGCCATGTTTCATTTGTTCATATATCATGATTGGAAACAATATTATGATTCATCATGCATTCAAGTATTTGAACCTGACTTCATCACACATGATCATTAATAACTTGTTTAATGGAGTGTGCATTTCCACATTATTGTGAAAAGTAATGAACCATTCATTGTTGATTTAAATGTATTATGACCCTGAGTTCATTGTGAGTAGTAATGAACCATTCATTGTTATTTTAGGTGTATTATGGCCCTGAGTTCATTGTGAATAGTAATGAACCGTTCATTGCTGTTGAACTTCCTAGTAGACAGGTATGTTATTATGGCATTATATATATTTTTATGTCGCCACCAAAAGTGGTGATAAACTTTTTTGACTGCAGTTGGTGTCCGGCATCTGGCATTCAGTGTTTTGTGTCTGTAACAAATAGCAGGTGGTGCAATTTGGCTTGTTAGTGCCTTGTTCTCCTATTTTGTGGGGGTGGGTGTGGAGATTAGGACAATAGATCCCTGTGGGTCAGTAAAATAGGTAAACAGAAAATGTAGCAATCCCTTGTATTTTAAACCATATAAAAGAAGTTCCCCATGTTCATTTACTCATGATAGAAATGATTAATATAATTCCTTTAAAGTATCACTCTTCACAATTTCTTACAACAGAATGTGATTCAGGATTTATTTGAAACTGTTTGTGTGACAATAGTGTATTTCAGTAAAGGTGAGTTTCTCATTTCAGAAAACTAAAGTAAAGAACCTAAGAGAATTTACAGTGGTTCTATTAAATGGACAGAAATTAGCTGCTCTTTGTGATCCGACAACTCCTTGTAAGGAGCTGCTTGACGTTGTTGTGTCGTATCTACGTCTGCCTGAGCACTACTTCTTTGGTCTGACACACATAAAAGGTAATTGTCTAAAACTTAAAATGTGCGATGTAAAAGTATCAGTACATTCTCATTATTTTAGCAAGAAAAAATTCAATTTTCAGTTCGGTACATTTTTAGAGGTTTTAATTCAAATATTAGATTTAGTGCATTATTTTATCAATGTACAACAATTTCACATCTTTTATTTTCTATGTTTATACTTTGTAAATCATACAGAAAAAAGTAAGGATTAGTATGCAAATAATACTCAGTACATAGATTTGTTGGATTGTTTAAACAGGGTGAATTTTCATTTTAATAGCTCTGAAAGAGTACCAGTCATTTGTTTTACCAGAAATTAATGTTTCTGGCCAGTAGTCCCAATGGTTGCATGTATCTTGTACATCACATAATGGACCTGTCATATACCTGTTAAAAAGTCTGCAGCTTGCACATGCATTATACCACCAAGGCCCCTTGTCAGTCACTGCACAATTAACAGATGGGTGTCTATCATTATCACGGTCTGATGTGGTAAAAAACATGGCATTGTGATAGTTCAAAGAATCACCAGCAGTCCCACTGAAGCCCCCTACTGTCAACCTCCATTTGTCAGTCTCTGCTCCAATATCAAATATTGCATATTCTGCATAACGTGTCTCATTTTGCCAAGTTGTCATCTCTATTCTTAGTTTATATTGGCCTTCTCTGAGAACTGCCAAGAGGTTATCAAAGCCAATGAAATGCTCAGCCAAAGGGCTACCGAATCCGTGTTTGTAGTCTTTCCATTTCAAGTTAAAGTCAACAGAACCATCAAATCTATTGGTGACAAGCAACCATTCATTCTCACACATGGCTTGGAATTCCCGGCCTGATCTTGTGATAATCTTAGTCATTCCATTCTCTTGTCCTTTGCAGTCTGGGGTCAATTTAGGACCTGGAACAAATTTGTCAACTTGCGAGAAAATAAAATATTTCATGAATCCCTTTTTAAAATAAACATCTCGAATTGTGAATTTTTTATGGCCCTATTTCAGGATATCACATTATGTTATACCGATGGTAGCAAGCCTAAGCAACATCCATTTTTGACAAAATATGTTAGAGAGAAATCCTCAAAGATATGTATCAAAAATGCACCACTGGAAAAACCCCAACAGCTACAAAAAGGAAAGGAATGATCAAAGTCCCACCATCTGAACCAACAGTGTCAAATGACCCCTCTTCCCTGAAAGGTTTTGAAAATAAAAAGGGATCCCTGTCACACTGCAATACCATGAATAGTTCATACTCTACTACAGTTATCCTGATCTTGATCTAATCGTCATCTTCTTGATAAAATTCAATTACATTTCATATGCTTTCATTTGATTATACATACCTTTGGAATCTAAGCAGTTTTCCATATCTTTTTTCATACTGGTCAACTCCTCTTTCAGTGATACAATTTCAGTTTTTATAGAAAGAGCATTTGTGTTTGGTTTCTTGCCTTTCCTCTTTGCTGCATCAGCTGCACCAGTGATAATTACAATTGCTATGGTGATCATGCAACAAGCTTGGTAGTTGCTCATGTTGTTCATCTTTGCCATCTTGTTGTCTTTACTATTAGTGAGAGACTGCCTTATATTTTTGTTTTCAGTTAATCGGATTTATGCTGTTTACACATTATGGCCACCTGTGTCTAAATTATTGTCATTTTCAAAGCCTGTGTATCTTTTATCTCTTCTTTGAAAGCATTATTTAATTCCTAGAATATTAAGAAATGCGTTACTGTATTTAAATCCATATATGGTCTAATGAGTTTTTGACTGTTGCACCTTTGATATCAGTGTATTATAGTATTAACATATGGGGGTGCAAAGTCCTTTGTAATAAGATACATACCTCACTTTATCTTAAATTGTGTGTCCAAATTTTATAAATAGATCTGTTAAACTTTAGAAATAAAAAACAGCTGTGTTTGAAAACCAACGCCAGGAAAGGGGAAGGAGAACAAGACAATGTCATATTGTACTTATGGGTATGAGTACAATTATTGTTAGTTTGTAGATGAAGAGTTATGTGTCTTGGAATTGACCGATAAACTTCTAAAATCTGGTAGAGCGGTGTGAAGATCAAACTCCAAAAAGTAAACCAAGTTATTAAACACTCACAGGTTATACATTTGAATTGAAATTTCTTTATTTATAGATGGAGAGCATTGTTTCCTTGAGCCAACTTCTAAACTCCAGAAAGCTAGTAGAGAGGGGTGGAAGACCAAGGGTCAGGCAGGGATGCGGGAGCCAGACAGTACAATGCTCTACTTCAGAGTTAAGTTCTATGCAGATTCTATTGAGTCAATCAGGTAAGACATTTGTGAAATTTATGGAACATTGTCTGGAATGTATTTTAGTAATAAATCATGATAGGCCATTCAATGTGGTGAAATTCAGCCCGAGTGTACTAAGCACAAATTATATCAATACATCTCTCTTCATTTTTACTAAATATCTCTACATTTACTATTTTAAAAAAAAAATTCAGCTCTTAATTTTGGATATTTTACTTTAGAAAATCCTGAGTCACACATACGCAAAAAATGTAAAATGTAAAAAATGTAAAAATGGCATAGCATTATTACATACATTAATGATATTCTAGATTTTTCTGTTTTAATGATTTTCTAATTTAGTAAGGGTAATTGAAGGACATAACACTGCATAATACCTTGAATTATACCACTGACATGTACTCATCCCATTAGCATTAGCCCCTTTGTTGAAATGAGCCAGGCTATGTGTAACTCGTTCTTTGACTCCAGGCATGACACAACACGCCATCTATTCTATCTGCAACTCAGAAGAGATATTCTGGAGGAACGTTCCCAGATCACACCAGAACAGGCAATAAAACTAGGTGAGAATTGTGGGATTGCATTTCCTCTTTAGACTACTGGTGCCTTTACCAGTACTCATGTTATCATTTTAACAGATGTTGGACTTTTGTCTTATCTTTTGAAATGAACGTTTTATTTTAAGCTTTTTTAATAAATTAGAATTTAAAAATAGTATAAGAACTGTTTCCTTACAAGAGGTGCAGTACTGTGCAATGTACCACTAACAGGCAGAATGTTGGAGTGTCGGATCTCAAACACAACCAAACTGCTCTCATATTCAGCACTATGTAGACCTTGCTTTACCTTACACTATAGGTGTTGTACATTCAGAATACGAGGACTGTGATGTTGGAGCTCAAACGCAACTAAACTATTGTAAAATTGCGCATTTTGTTAACATAACTCTACACTATACAGTGTTCACAGGATTTTTTCTCAAGTAGGTGCAAAATTCTCATTTTCACAATTCAGACCAAAATTGGTCAAAATATGTTAATTTTTCTCATTTTCAAGTGGACGCAAATAGAATTTCAGGTGGGTGCAAGCTTATATTCAAAATCTCAGGTGGGTGTCGGGCCCACTTGCTTTAATGCTGGGGAGATCACTGCTATAGGTGCTCTAGCTATAAAGGCAGAATATGGGACTATGATGTTGGAGCTCAAACGCAACCAAACTTGTCAAATTGAGCACTATGTTAACATTACTCTAATTTACACTATAGGTGCTCTAGCTGTACAGGCAGAATATGGGACTATGATGTTGGAGCTCAAACGCAACCAAACTATTGTCAAATTGAGCACTATGTTAACATTACTCTAATTTACACTATAGGTGCTCTAGCTGTACAGGCAGAATATGGGGACTATGATGTTGGAGCTTAAAAACAACCAAATTATTGTCAAATTGAGCACTATGTTAACATTACTCTAATTTACACTATAGGTGCTCTAGCTGTACAGGCAGAATATGGGGACTATGATGTTGGAGCTTAAACACAACCAAACTATTGTCAAATTGAGCACTATGTTAACATTACTCTAATTTACCCTAGGTGCTCTAGCTGTACAGGCAGAATATGGGGACTATGATGTTGGAGCTTAAACACAACCAAACTATTGTCAAATAGAGCACTGTGTTAACATTACTCTAATTTACCCTAGGTGCTCTAGCTGTACAGGCAGAATATGGGGACTATGATGTTGGAGCTCAAACGCAACCAAACTATTGTCAAATAGAGCACTATGGTAACATTACTCTACATTTACTTTATGCTATAGGTGCTCGATCAATATGGGGACTATGATGTTGGAGCTTAAACGCAACCAAACTATGATGTTGGTGCTCAAACGCAACCAAACTATTGTCAAATAGAGCAATATGTTAACATTACTCTAATTTACTCTAGGTGCTCTAGCTGTACAGGCAGAATATGGGGACTATGATGTTGGAGCTCAAACGCAACCAAACTATTGTCAAATTGAGCAGTATGTTAACATTACTCTAATTTACTCTAGGTGCTCTAGCTGTACAGGCAGAATATGGGGACTATGATGTTGGAGCTCAAACGCAACCAAACTATTGTCAAATAGAGCATTATGTGAGCCAGAGAATCATACAGCATTTGGGCAGTGTTTATATCATGGACAATCTATCTACCTCTCACTGGGAAAACAAAGGACTTCTTGACCATGAGGCAGAGATGGACTTCATATCAGTATGTTATTTTATATCAGTTACAAATTGGCTATGGAAGCTGCTATGTGCTCTACATGTATATGTACATGTAGATGGTTCACTGTAAATGTAAAAAGAACAGAATTTGTTGACTCGCTTTGGCCATTCTGAAGAAGAATATTTCCACATTCTATAGTGTCATTTGAGACCTACACATTGCATTATTTTCAGGCCGATAAGATTTTTTAAAATAAAATTTTGATCATATTCTGAATGTGTAGGATTGAAGTTAACATTCAAAATTTCAAATGTCATCAAGGTTATTCAGTTTTAATTTGAATAATAAGTTATATTTTATCTCAACGCATTATTGCTTATAAAATGGATCTTAATAATTAATTTTGCCGTCATGGTTGAGATCTGTTGAGTTGTAACTTTAATAAACAAATGTCACAAATATTTGTTCAACTTCAAATTTATCGAAGCAAAACCATTGATGGTTAATATTAAAACAAACAAGTAGTTGTTTATTACTGCAATAACATTTCCATTTCAAATGTCATCTATTTGTTTCACACGTAAGGTTTATATGAGTTGGCTACTATATTTAGCAAATATTTATGTTTCGCATTTTACTCGCAGGCTTTTATGAAAACACCAGAATATGGCATACACTTTTACCGGGTGTTCCGTAGAAAGAATGAAACATCCAGCCCCCTGTGGGTAGGGGTATGTAGCCTGGGGGTATTGACAGCAGAGACCAGGGGTGGGCATAGAATTATCACCCACAAGCACTCATGGCAGAATACTCAGAAATTATCCTTCAACAGAAGACGGTTCAGTGTGTTGCCAAAATCTTCAAGTGGGGCCATGAAACTGACTAAATTAAGCTATTATACAGATAGTTACCGCAAGTAAGTTGTTTTGACTTCTTAAAATTGTCATTTTAAATGCTAAAATGCCATACACAAATGGCATGCTCGTTATTTGAAGCCAAAGAAGTTAAATGTTGAATAATGGTATCATTCATGTGTTTTTGTTATAAGAGGCACTAGCACGTTACCTTTTCATCTTCGTCATATTCTTGAGATGTTCCCAATTATTGCGTGGCTATTAGAGCACTGCTGCATATTATTATGTTGTAAATGACTCTTAACAATACACAGATTGAAATAATTACTGCTACCCTTGATTTAAGCATTAGTCATTTTAAAAGTTAATATGACCTGATACTTGAATTGCTTTAATGTAATGTTGCTGTGTTCTAAATAATCTTTTGTTCTTACGGGAATGGCATTTTTCATGTTTCACAAGTTTGTACTGATCACTTGTTTTATTCATTCAGGCGTCATCCTGTCAGTTTTTCTCCCTCTCTATCACATTTGCGTACAGCCATATTTTCTTCTTATTTCTTTTACCTTGTGACATTGAATATTTTCAGGGGTCAATACTTGCTACAGTTTGCCACATCTCACCATGTGTTTCACCTTAAGATGCGGGCAAGAGCACAAAGCTTTGAGAGGTTTCAACCAAACAATGGCCACCAACAAGGTATGACACACAAATTTTGCAATGGTTGTCCCATGAATTTAAAGCATCTAGTGAAAGTATAAATTGTTCATGAATTATTGTTTATCTTAGCATACAACTCAAACACATATTGTTCAAATTGTTCGTAAATCATTGTGAATCTTAGCATACAACTCAAACACATATTGTTCAAATTGTTCGTAAATCATTGTGAATCTTAGCATATAATTCAAACACATATTGTTCAAATTGTTCGTAAATCATTGTGAATCTTAGCATATAATTCAAACACATATTGTTCAAATTGTTCGTAAATCATTGTGAATCTTAGCATATACTTCAAACACATATTGTTCATGAATCATTGTTTATCTTAGCATATACCTCAAACACAAATTGTTCATGAATCATTGTCACAGTATCTTAGCACATGAATCAGACACAAATTGTAAATGAATCATTGTGTATCTTAGCACATAAATCAAACACATATTGTTCATGAATCATTGTTTATCTTACCATATAATTCAAACACAGATTGTTCAAATTGCTCATGAATCGTTGTGTATCTTATAGTGGTGCAACTCGCAAGAAAAATGCTATTCGAGTAGAAAGTGTGAAAATGCCACTGTAAAATGAGGGAAAAATTTTAAAAAAATAAAAAACTCACCTAGTCGACTGTTTGAAGACCAAATAGATACAATTTCTTAGTTTCTTCTATATGTTATTGATGTTAGATATAGTTTGTATCAATTTAGTGAGAATAAATGTAGTTATTCATGCCATAATTGTGTTTGTTTGTTTGTTTTTAAATATTTTCATTTTGTTTCCGGAATCGATACTTTATTTCGTTCATTGCATACAAAAAAATCATCATTCCCGGGGTTTAAAACACTTCATAATAAAACATGCCTACTCGAGTTTGAAAAAACGTACTCGAGTAACTATCTTGGACAGGTTCAACGAGTGAGTGGCGAGTACTGGCATTCGAGTTGCACCACTAGTATCTTAGCACATGAATCAGACACATATTGTAAATGAAAGCATTTCTTCAGCAGAAATTTTGTTGTTAACGAAAATATTTAAAGAATGTATTCTGATTGCAGAATCCCCTGAGCCTGTTCAAAGTGGAAGTCAGGTCCCTGATGATACTAGGCGACCACGGTACAGTCAACAAGAGTACAGTGAACAGCCAGATACTCTCTCTCAAGGTGTGTGGATATTGTATACATATTCTCGAACTTCCTATCCGAGTTTGTATTGTCTGTCTCTTAAACTACATCTTTCTTCTAATGTGATGACCTAAAGCCATATATGATATACTCCAACCAATCCCAAATTTGCTTTCTCTCTGTAAACAGCCATATCTTTTTTTGTACTGTGATCTCATTCACCAATGTGGACTTCTTTCAGATAATAAACTAGTACTCTTTATTTGAGATAAATATAGTTTCATATTGATTTCTCATCTATGATCTTCAATATATATATATATAAGGGTTATGTACTGGGAAGTTTTGGATACAGGGTTTATCCCAAGGGAAATATATGTATCTCCCGAGGGACTGCAGGACCGAGGGAGAAACAGATATTTCCTGAGGGATAAAATCTGTATCTGAAACCGACCGTACATAACAGATGTATTACATACAATCCAACCTATTCCATGACATATGCTTACTCCCCTTATTTGGAGTAATTGGCAAGTCTAAAAAACACCCCTTTATAAAAAAGTGGACTGGCCCAAGTGGCCAATATCGATCCCCAACTCATTATGTATTCATATTTAATTCTTGCCACGTAGGAGTAATTGGAAAATTTTTCAAGTCAATATTTATCGTACGATCTATTCACTCAACAAATTTCTGTTACTTATAAGTCAGAATTTGTTTTTTGAATAGAGAGTATCATAGTCATAACATTAGTCTAGTATGGCAGAACAGGGCTCTATTCAGGGTGAAATTACTTCTGAATTGAACTTGAACGGTCCCTCGACCTCGTCAACTTTGACCGGGAATGAAGTGATAAACGACGTCTCTTTGGCTACCACATCCGTCACAGATTATGTCCAATCCTTAGTGGAAGAGGCGGTGACTAGGAAAATGGCTACCCTTGGAAACAGGCCACCAACGAGACCTCCTTCTGACCGTAGAAGCCCGTCTTCAAGCTATTTACACAACTCGGAATACTCGCTTCCGAGAGAGCAGTCCCCCCGGAGCAGTAAGAAGGCCGTAGAGACGGGAAAACGAGGTAACGATTCGCACCGAAATGACACCAAATTTCGTGACTACAACTATTCCGCCACACACCACGTGGACGTAAGTAGGTCAACTTTTCGAAATCGTTCAAGATCTCCCGTTTCTCAGCTTAGAAGCCCTTCTAGATTGTCTCACCACTCCTACTCTCACACTAATAGACCCTCTGATAGTTCGCCGAGTAGGATTTCCGGGACTTCACGTCAGGGAACTCAGAATTCACGATCTATTATCAACAATTTTAGTTCCAAAATTTCACAATCTCAAAATTCAGATTCTAAACCTCGTATTTTGGATTCTGATGACAACGAGCCGTCTAAATCTAAGTCCTCTGAAGAAGAAGCGGTCTTGTTAGTTCGTTCCTTATGGGATTCAACCATATCAGCCTTAGAAATTGACCAAGTCAACAGCTCCACTAATTCTAAAGAATCTTTGACTAGGGTAGCTCTCCAGAAAGTTGATGAATCTTCAGTCACTAAAGCTTCATTACCTTGTCCCCCAGTGTTCCATCAGTTGGTGCAGAATATCAATAATCAGATCTCATCTGCCACTTCCGGTTTCAACACAAAGGGAAAACTCTTCAGAATCAAATCTTCAAATTATAGATTAGCCAAGGGAGATGATTCAGTCGTACGGCCCCTCAAACTCAATAATTCACTTGGAAACTTAGTCCCAAATGATAAAACCTTCAGTGATTTCTTCAAGAATGCTGATACTAAAACTCAACTCTCCAATAAAAACTGGAAGGGTCTCGAAGAGAACTTGAGGGCTGTCCTTCAACCTTTGGTGTACTCAGAGTGGTATATAGGTTCTGTTTCAAAGTTAGTTACCCAACTCACAGCACACTTATCCAACAACACGGATCCACTAGTTACCCAGTTGTTAGATTCCATGGGCGATTTACTCCTTAGGGGTTCGACAGCCTCTGTTACTGCTACTGAAGGTATTCTCAAGACTCTCACCAACTCAGCATTACTTCAACGTGATCTGATTCAAGAACAAGTACCAACACGCTTCCGCGAATCTATGAGGGTACTACCAGTTGAGCATACATCTACTACTTTGTATCCAGAGTCACAACTTAAAGATTTGGTTGACTCAGCCTCCTCAAATCTGACAAACCAAGCACTTGTTACCTTGGCCCAGTCCAGTTCTAGATCTAGTAAAGACAAAGACAGGTCCCAACGCCAATCCAGGTCTGACTACAGGAAGAAATCTTCTAACAAAGATTGGTCCAAATCACAAGACAAATCCAAGTCAGATTTTCGTGATTCCAAGAAGAAATACGACAATAAAGGTGGTAAGCACTTCAACAAAGACAACAGATTCTCCAAGAAGTGACCATTCTATGATCCCAATCTTCACAATTCCTCCATTTCCAGGACCTGTAGGGGGAAGATTGATGTTTTTCCTTCCGAATTGGAAGCTGTTAACGGAAGATCCGTTTATACTGAAGATGATCCAGGTAGGATACATCCCACAGATGAATTCAACTGTGACGTTATGCACCGAACCAAACCAGTTCGAGTCTTCAACATCGAGCAAAGCAGCTCGTTTCAGCAGAGTGGTAGAGGACCTTCTGCAAAAGAATGCTGTAGAAGAAGTTCTAAACAGACATTCTCCAGGGTTTTACAGCAATCTATTCTTGGTCAAGAAGAAGAATGGAGAAGACAGACCCGTCATCAATTTGAGAACTTTAAATCAAGTCTTAATAGTTCCCAAATTCAAAATGGAAACAGTACAGCAGTACATGACCTCCTTCCAACAAGGCGAATGGGCAGTATCCTTGGACCTTCGGGATGCTTATCTTCATATAATGATGAAAGAGAACTTCCGGAAGTATCTCCGTTTTGTCGTCAACGGGAAAATTCTGCAATTTCGAGTACTCCCTTTCGGTCTGGCAACAGCACCGATGATTTTCACCAAGATCCTGGAACCCCTAGCCTCATTCTTCCACAAGCTCGGGATAAAACTCCACCGGTATTTAGACGATTGGTTAATCCGAGGAGCATCGCCACAGGAAGTCTCAGATCACCTACGGATTGTGATGACGGTGACGGAAAATCTTGGCTTCATCATCAATCACAAGAAATCGCAGTTGATTCCGTTGCAGATCTTCGACTATGTAGGTGTACGGTGGGACCTTCATCTAGGGATGTCCTATCCCCCCCAGGACAGAATAGACAAAATTCTACACCTAACAGACTGGTTCCTCACAGAAAGTCGAGCAACAGCCAAGCAGTGGATGTCTCTTCTGGGATTACTGGCATCAGCAGAGAAACAAGTCCCACTGGGGAGATTGCACATGAGGTTCCTCCAACAATGCCTGTCTCAGAATTGGTCTCAACTCAGAGATCCATTGGACAAGATGATAACAGTAGATCGTACTGCAAGATTGGACCTGTTGTGGTGGAATCAAGGCCAGCATCTGGAGAAAGGGATGACTTTAGCTCCATTTTCACCAGAAGTGACAATATTCACAGATGCTTCAACAGCGATGTGGGGAGCTCATATGGATCTGAACATATCGAAAGAGTGCTGTGGAAACTGGTCCCAATCAGAATCCAACAACCACATAAACTGGCTGGAACTAAAAGCCATACAGAAAGCCCTTCACCACTTTCAGACTCACCTCCAAGGAAAGATGGTGTTAATTTGTGCAGACAACACAACTGCGACAACCTACCTCAACAAACAAGGGGGAACACAGTCAGCAAAACTGACAGAGTTATCTCGACAGATATGGTTATGGGCCGATTTACATCAAGTCCGTCTTCGCGCAAGACATGTGCCAGGTCGACTGAATCGAAGAGCAGATCTGTTGAGCCGGGGAAATCAGATAGTTGCGACAGAATGGTCCTTACATCCAGCAGTTGTCAAACAGATGTTCAAGATATGGGGAACTCCAAATCTAGACATGATGGCGACATGCTACAACAACCAACTACCAGTGTATGTCTCACCAATACAAGATCAAGCAGCTTGGGCAACAGACGCTCTATCCCTAAGCTGGCAAAATCTTCATCTGTACATCTATCCCCCCATGCCAGTGATAGGATTAGTTCTACACAAGATAAAGGATCACGACTGTTTAGCTCTAGCAATCCTTCCAAAATGGCAGAATCAGCCGTGGTTCCCAGAACTATTGGATCTTCTAGTGGACTATCCAAGGGAAATCCCCCCATTGGAGAAACTTCTCAAAATGCCAAGAAGTCAGATCTTCCATCAAAATCCAGAACTTTTCCATCTTCACGCTTGCAAACTCTCACGAAATCTCTCACTCAGAAGGGTTTTTCAACACAAGTGTCAAAAAGAATCGCATCAGATGCTAGAAGACCTTCCACCAACAGAGTCTATGATGCCAAATGGAAGAAGTTCTCTATTTGGTGTTCTGAGAGGAATCTGGATCCCTGCACAGTCTCTGTTCCAGAAATAGCTGACTTCTTACTTTATCTTCATTCAGTAAAGAAGTTAACAGTGAGTACCATTGAAGGTTATAGAACTGTCATCAATCAAGTCCTTCAACATTCAAGTGGCACATCACTCTCGTCGACTCAAGAAATCTCTGATCTGATCCATTCTTTCAAATTAGAAGATGCTCAGCCTAAAGATCTGATGCCTAAGTGGGACCTAGTGTTTGTACTACACGAGTTAACCAAACCTCCCTTCGAACCAATGTCGACAGCTGATCTCAAACACGTATCGTGGAAGACACTTTTCCTTCTACTGTTAGCTTCAGGGAAAAGACGTTCTGACATCCATGCCATAGACATTAGGCGTATACAATGGACTAGAAACAACTTGGAAGCGGTACTTTTCCCTTTTGTTGGTTTCCTGCCGAAATCATTGAATTGCGCAGAAGGACAGTCCAGATTCCAACCAATCACTATCAAGGCTCTAGCTAATTTCGTTGGAAATGAAACGCCAGATAAATTCTTATGTCCTGTGAGGGCCCTAAGATATTATCTTCAAGCCACAGTTCCTATCAGAGGAGTCAGGAATAGACTTTTCATCCCCTTCAAGAAAGGATGCAGTTCTGATGTACACCCTAACACTCTCTCTAGTTGGGTGAAACAACTGTTGAACTATGTCTACAAGAATGCCTCAGAAGAAAGCAAGTTACAAGGGAAGATACGACCACACGAGACAAGAGCCATATCTTCCTCACTAGCTCTACAAGCCAATGCCTCATTAACAGCACTCTTCAAGACCTGTTCATGGGCATCCCACAACACCTTCACAAGTTACTACCTCAGAGATGTGACAGTAATGGAGAAAGGCATGCACAAGCTGGGCCCGGTGGTACTAGCTGGCACTCTCTGCAACTTTTAGACGTAAGTGTTCTTCACTCACTATATATCTGCAGATGGATTCACGTGGGAAGCTTGGCCTCGACTGTTTTGCAGAAGGGTTCAACTCAACTAGCTTGTGACCTGGACCCTTGAAGAACTGCAACGGTTACCTCGTTTGGTTTAAACGGCCCTTTCTTGGTTAACCAGTCTCTATTCATAGGAGTTGGTCATTACCCTTAAATGGCTAAGACTGCTCACTCTGATAGGACATAACAGTCTCCAGTTGGACATGTAACAGCCTCCGTCTTGGATCCAACTAGCAGATGGGGGTAATGGTACATGTACTATTCTTTGGGTGACATCTCATTAGGATGGTAATATAGTTCTTTTGTACTTTTAGTAACGAGGTCCCCACCTCCTTAACTTTTTATTCAGCATATGTCATGGAATAGGTTGGATTGTATGTAATTGAGAAATTTTACCAGTAAATTTTCTATTAATTACAATACAAACCTATTCCATGACCAGAGGCCCACCCAGCCTCCCCGCCTTTGGGAAAATGGAGGTTATTTATTATTTTGTTAGCGTATTAAATATGAATACATAATGAGTTGGGGATCGATATTGGCCACTTGGGCCAGTCCACTTTTTTATAAAGGGGTGTTTTTTAGACTTGCCAATTACTCCAAATAAGGGGAGTAAGCATATGTCATGGAATAGGTTTGTATTGTAATTAATAGAAAATTTACTGGTAAAATTTCTCAATTCCATACCTACCGAGGTTCTAGATACATTATAACTCATAAAGTTCCAAATGTATAAGCTTGTTGTTTCCCACATAGGTGATGTTGATGATGCTGAAGATATGGTTGACTACTTCAATGATGACCTTGACAGCTATGAAGAGAGTGACCAGGAGATGCCCAATGATGACCAGATGGACATACATGAGGTTCAGAACATTCAATATTTAATAAGTTAAAATGCATGTCATATGACTCAATATGTTGTTTTCAATAAGTTAAAATGATTTTACACAAATTGATGATATTACTCCGTATGCTAATCATGATGTTTCTGAAAATGATGATATTACTCAATAGGAAAAACATGCTTTTATTCAAAATGATGATATTACTCAATATGCAAAATATGATATTACTCAATATGCTAAACATGATGCTCCTCAAAATGATGATGATATTACTCAAAATGTGAATCATTATTGTATTGAAAATGATGATATGACTAAATATGTGAAACATGATGTTACAAAAAATGATGATATTACTCAATATGAAAAATATGATATTACTCAATATGCTAAACATAATTTACTCAAAATGATGATAATATTACTCAAAATGTGAAACATGATTGTATTGAAAATGATGATATAACTCAATATGTGAAACATGATGTTACTAAAAATGATGATATTACTCAAAATGTGAAACATGATGTATTGAAAATGATGGTATATTATTTAATATGTGAAACATGATGTTACTGAAATTTATGATATAAGTTAAAGTGTAATGTGACTCAAAATGATGATATTACTCAATATGGTAAAATGATGTTATGCAATATTTCCAGGTGTCAAATGACCAACACCACGAGCCCAATAATTCTACCAAGGCAAGTCGCACCAGTAAATACTCAAATCGTACACCTATGTCATCTCAGCGTCCCCCTTCCAACACAGACAGCACACCCCCAGAGCCACCTCAGCGTAGCAGTGCCTCCCATTATTACACAGAACCTGAGGGGGCATATGGAAGACCCAAGGGGGCACACTCTAGACTGGAGGGGGCACACCCACATGCAGGTCTTCATTCTTACAACCAAAGAGGTCATGCTCCAACCTACGAGAGCCCCATGAAAACACCCAAGGCCTATGTAGTTGGTATGGAATATGTGATTTCATTTTCTTTGATTTGAAATAGATATCATTAATTTATCTTCAAGCCTGTAGTATGTTGTAATGTGAGATGATTGGTTGAAACTTTCCCTTTACTAAATAACATTGATAAATAACATTGAACAAATAGTATTCTATAACATATTGTTCAGTAAATTGTTTGTAGAAAAACAAAGCATTAATCTTATAATTATAACTAATATGGTTATAGTATCCTCATCCTCCATAATGTGTAGCAATACAAGGTGTCTCAGAAGTAAAATATGATATTATATAATTATTACCACCTTGCCGGGCCAGTTCTAGGGCTTTTAGTGCTAGTTTAGAAGGCATTCATTTTACTATATCGACCTGAGCAATATGTGACGTCATAGTGACGGTCAATATTGCCAGTCAAGAATGCCTTCGGTCCAATATTTCACTATATTGCCCTTTGATATGATGTTATTGTACTATTATCCCAGAGGGATATAGAGAAGCGCCATCCATCCAGCCAGCCATCCTTCCATCCAAATAAATTCTGGTGCCATTTCTTGCCCTTCTCTGCTCAAATTTTCAAGATGGCTGCTGAATTGAAATGGCCACCATTTTTCATGAAAAATATCATTTTGGATAACTAAAACACCAGTAGTCAGATCTCATTTATTGATGTCATACGGACATAGGACAGTTAGGAATCTGGTCAAGATGGCTGCAGAATTAAGAATGGCTGCCATTTTCTGGGAGAAGTTGGTCAAAATTTTACAGGCAGAATTGGTATGAAAGGGTATGAAATAAAAACAGAATGATGAACTGTTTTCATTTTGAATTATATTTTTATTTCTTGTGTAGAATCTGTGTTTATTTAGTACAATGAAAATTCTTTTTTGAAACTGCTAGTCATTCATTTGTCATGTTTTATTTCTTGTCAAGTTTTATTTCACAGATGTATCTGTGATTAAGTGTACATTCACGATCATGCCATTTGTAGGAATCTGGTGCCCACAGAATATGGCACAATTGGTTGACTTTGGCGCCCTGACCATGCACCCATGGTGCGAAAGACATTAGCTTGGTGTCAAATGATTCTCCACCTATCCATTGCCATTCACCATTTATTCTTGTTCCACCAGTAAAGAAAGATTCCTCATTAGATCCTGGCCAGTTCAATCCCTTCTGTTTGATTTCACTGTATATGAAATTCAATTCAGCTTGTGTTTCTATATCAACCAGGTTTGCTCCCATGGCCATGCAGAATGAAAGGGCATTATACCAATTTGTTGGCTCTTCAATCACAAAATTGTAGCATGAACCAAATTGAGCATTGTAGGTAAAACTTTTAGGACAGGATTTCTTCGGTACATCTTCAATAAAACAACAAAATTATTTGCCTTCAATTTAACCTAAATACTTATTATTCCATCGAAAGTACTTCAGGGCAGTAACCCAAATACAGTTGGCCCAAAATCATTTACAGTAGAACCTGTTTATCTGAACACCTGGCTAATCCGAACACCTTCCAATTTGAACACTTTTTTTCGGTCCCATTTTTTCCTCCCGTTGACTCCCATGTTAAAAAAACCTTGAAATCTGAACACCTCCTAATTTGAACAGTGAACAACCAGATTTGAAAAAGTGACCTGTCTAATCTGAACATTTTTATCAGAAATCAAATGTCTGGACATTTCAATTAAAGCCACATATTGAGTCAATGTTATAGTTGTTATTTATCTTTACATATATACAAATGTAATCAAAGAACCAATTGTCCTAATTAACTTATTTAGTCTCAGTGACATCCCTAATTTGTGGAAAACAACAGGATGTTTTGGAAAGGTGTGAATACAGGAGTTAATTGGTTTATCCTATTAGAAAAGAACTGAATGTTTTATTTTTGGATAAGAGGAAGGTGTGAATCAAGAAGATAATTGATTTATCATTATTGGAAATTACCTGGATGTTTTTGATTTGGATTAAGAGAAAGGTGAGAGTCTGGGAGATAATTGGTTTATCCTTATTGTAAATTAACTGGATGTTTTTGATTTGGATTATGAACAGGTCTTAACTGTTTTATATCCCATGGGTCTGTTATGATAGCTAACATTCAATCAGTAAATGTTTTATAATCACAAAGACAACACAGACGCCATTTGCAGACACGATTATATCACGAGAAGGAGAAAAAATTCAACTTCGTAATATTCGCATACATCTGACATCCTGAATGCCCTTGATATTTTGAAGGATTATACATCATCTCGAATGAACACTCATGAAAAATTATTTTTACTTGAAGAGGATATCTACTCAAATATTGCTAATGCTAAAAGTGCCAAGAAACAAACAACAATGAAGGACTTTTTCAAGCAAAAGTAAAGCAGTGCTATATAACCATAATATGGGATAAGCCATTTGATAAGCATAAGATTTCCTACGAGACTATCATATACTTTTACAGTGTATTACAAAGTTTTTGCCAAAATATAAGAGTTATTTTTACTAAAATGATGAAATTGTTCAAAATATAAATAAAACATAGCATATAGGCTATAGGCCTATTGTAGAATTAACTCATCAAACCCATGTATTGTTTTCTGTCTTAGTATTAAGTGTTCAATATAGTGCACTGAACAATGAAAATCCCCTCCCCCCGACCCAAAAAATCCTTGAAATTTGAACACCTGCCAATTTGAACGCTTTTGGCTGGTCCCATGGGTGTCTGGATTAGACAGGTTTTACTGTACTAGTATATTTTACACATACTGGGTGTCCCAAAAAATGAGTCGCTTTTTGACAAGAATTATCTCGGCAACTGATAAACCAAATTCACTGAAAATTTGAACAAAATAGCCTTAGAGTATCATTAGCAAGTTGTTAAAATATATAAAAGATCAAGTAGATATTTTGTGAGTACCAAGAAATTCAAAATACCATGTCAAAAATTCTCATACTGGAGCCCTGAAATGAGACCTCTATAGTGTTTGTACCAGCTATCATCTTCGCATGCTCAGTCTTCACTGCGTTCAATGGGAGCAGACTGATGTCTGATTAATGATTTTCAATCATCCCAAATATCCTAAATCCTATTCATTCTCGAAACTCATTGGAGGTGATATTGTTAGAATAATACGGAAAGGTATTCTTGCTTGGAAATGGATTACTGGGTGACTTTTAGATTGATATTGGTTATTTTGACATACTGTTTTTAATTCTAAAATACACACATAATATGAGACCAATCTCATACATACAGGGTGTTCCAAAAGTAACAGGACTGGTGCTGACATTTTGTCAATTTTGCACTGAGTGTCTTGAAATTTTCACAAATTGTACTTTGAAGTATTGCAACTAAAATTGTAAAGTTTCAGAAAAAATTATGAAATGCGGTTAGAGTTATCGTTACTATAGTAACATGACATTCCAATACCCGGTGCAACTTTTTCCTGAAAATGTGATATCTACCATTTTTGTATTTCTGAAGAAAGTATCTGATTCACCTATTATAATACAACATTTCTTGTTTATTTTATTAGTTGCTTTGTTGTAAAGATGTTGCTATACAACTCAGATTCAGGTATAATTTCATAATGATAATAATATTTATTCAATCTCCTGGAATATCTTGTACTGACCAAAGAGGAGCCTATTTTTCAAAGTAGAGGATACATAGGAATATCGAATGATGTAAGACAAATGTAATTCCCACCAGTTGTTGCATTTCAATTTTGATATGGCATGTACAAAATGATATGGGATGTACAAAATGCTTAATGTCTCTGTAACTTTTTGCGTGGAATGTTCCCCGGGTATTGTGATGTCATGTTACTATAGCATTCATAACTCTACCCGAGTTTCATATATTTTGTAGAAACTTTGCAGTCTTAGTTACGATACATGAAAGAACATTATGTAAAATTTTGAAGACGATTGGTGCATATTTAACAAAATGCTAGCACCAGTCCTGTTACTTTTGGAACGCCCTGTATTCATGGTACTAGCAGAAGATACCCTAAAGTGCCCCGGGTAATGTTTTCAAAGAATTTGGCTCATCTAATGCTAGAAATTACTTGTCCAATTGCTTCTCATTTTTTGGTACAAACACTAAGAACTTTCATTGTGTTGCTCCAGTCTGGGATATTATGACATGCCATCTTGAATTTCTTAGTACTCACATAACATTCACTTGATTATATTTTTGAACCTTGCTAACAATACTCTTGGGCTACTTTGTACTTTTCAGTGAATTTAGTTCTTCAGTTGCTGAAATAATACTTGTCAAAAAGTGGCTCATTTTTGGGACACCCAATATATGCCCCATGTGAGTACAAATTCTGCTAGAAAGTTGATTTTCAAAATGATCACCAGTTTCAAAATGACCAACTGCTTCTCCAGTTACAGCGAAAATCATAAAACAGCATGTACACGCGGTGCTAACTTCGACCGTTAATTTGAATTTTTGACCTACCGGATGTTTGAAAATCAAGGATTACGAGTTTCATACTGCACCGTTTTTCTTCAAACTTATACCATTAAAAGCAAAACAAAATTGCCTTTCCGTCGGTGCATTACTTTATTGTAAAGAGTCCCTCGTTCTAGCAGCGTTTTGGTCCCCAGCTATTAGAAGGCCTTCTTACATCTGGGGACCAAAATGCCGCTGGAAGTAGGGACTCTATTTAAGAGAATAATGTACAAACAGAAAGGGATTTTTGTTATGCTTTGAATGGAACAAGTTTGAAGAAAAACGGTGCAGTATGAAACTCGTAATCTTTGATTTTCAAACATCCGGTAGGTCAAAAATTCAAATTAACGGTCGAAGTTAGCACCGCGTGTACATGCTGTTTTATGATTTTTGCTGTAACTGGAGAAGTAGTTGAGCATATACTTTCCGGCTCAAATATTGTGAGAGAAATGGGTTTTTTTCAGTGTATAAACAGTCAATTTATTAGAATATCTTGCTATAGCAAACTGTCAAAATGGATGAAGCATGTGGTATAATTTTTTGACCAAAATGTTGATGGACTTCTCCAACATAATGAGAATGAGAACACTTTAAAGTTGCACCAAAACCATTTTACCCGATTGAGATATATTTATGCTATCTTACCGTATGAAGGCCACACTTAAAGATATTGAACCATCAACAATTCCAAAAGTTCATTTTATCTTGATATCGAGCATATAAAGTCAGCACATATCTGTTTTTGCGGCAAAACTGATTTCATTTTCAGAGCAGACGTTTTATGTCACGTGACATGACGTTTGTGGTTGGAACAATTTGCCGCGAAATACGATTTTGTCGATAAAATGAAACCCTGGCTTTCAAAAACGAGTTATTTGCTCTTATGTTGAGCCAATAATTGCATGATTGAGGCTATTCTTATCAATTTTCCCATAGGGAAAACTCATGCTATCCATTGTTTTCACATAATTATGGTCATTGAAAATTGATATATCTTCAAAACTAAATGTTCAATACAATTCTACTTTTGAAGAAATTTTACACCCCTTGTTGAAAAATCTTTTCATGCAATAAAAATCAGAAAAAGAAGATCCTCTTTTGAGTAAAGAGGTTCAACATTTTGAAAAAAATGTTGACACGGGTCTCTATTCATAATTTTTCGAATTGTTCGACTGATATTTTTATCATCGTGGATATTTCACTTGAAAGAAAACATGTTGTTTTAATAAAAAACACTGTATTCATGTCCAGAAAGTACTCATGGTGAAATATATGACTGTCTAAAATCACTTGCCATACTGCACATGCACTTTCGTTTCGGAATTCCATGTAATTGTCAGTAAATGTTTTAGTGCTTCGATAAGTTGAATTTTTGAATACATTTGTCAGAATTCGATCTTTCTCCATTTGTTGTAAGATTTTGAATACTTTCTTGGGATGACTTCCTGATACAACTTCACTGCTTGCCATGTTGGCATTCTGCCATAATCCCCGGGAATTAAGTGATGTGACGTCATTTAAGTGAATACCACTATATATTCACTATATATATCAAAATGATGTCATTGCAGGGGAATACACTCTACACACATTTTCAAAGCAGGGGTACATGGAATGTACCTCTATGTATTTTTAGTCACATGGTATCTGATTTGCCAATGAGAGAACAAGTATCACAGCATGGAAATATTAACTAGTATTATCTACCTTGTTTCTTGCACTGGTCCAATTGGCGTTTCATATTGGCAAGGTTTGTTCTACATCTGTTCAGATCCCTCCTGCAATTAGCAAGCACTTCAATACTACATTCTAACAACATCACCATGGTAACCAGTACATATGGTAGGTTGTTCTTCATGTTTCCTCTAGGGTGACTTTGTCGGTGATATGAGTTGATGTGATCCGGCTGAAATGTTCATGGTTTGCAAAATTGAAAAATAAATATGTTATTGTTATGTTGTTATGCATCACTTCGATTCACTTGGCATATCCAACAACAAACACATAAAAAAGTTTTATTCAACATTTTAAGATTTTATTGCCACATTTCAAATAAAACAAGTGGAATGTGCATATGCCATTTTAATTTCTGTTTAATGTTTGCCTATTAATGAGTATTATATCATCCATAACTGAAGCTCTAAATTATGAGAATTTTATGGGCTTATGTCTTATGAGTAAAGGACCTGTAATCGAGAAGGTATTTATGATATGAAACCATGTCACATCATGGGTACAGATTTTACCAAAGACAATATTACTATAATAATACATACTATTTTGTTATGTTCAAAATGACAAGTGATTTGGGTGGGGATTTGCCATCTTCTAGTTTCTGTTTCTTTTCAAACATCTCAAACTGTTACTTTTTCCCTTTCAACTATGAGCCTAGTTGTATTAAGTTTATGGCCATACAGTAGTTGTATTCAACAATTTATGGTAACTGTCTTTCGAAATAAAAAACCGAATGATTAACGCGTTCATTTTGAAACATATTTTTATTGTGTAGTCTTTGTTTGTTTACAATCAATGTAAATACCCTTTTCTTACTGCTAGTCATTCTCTTGTCATGTTTTATTTCTTGTCAAGTTTTATTTCACAGATGTATCTGTGATTAAGTGTACATTCACGATCATGCCATTTGTAGGAGTCTGGTGCCCACAGAATATGGCACAACTGGTCACTGTTGTTCCCTTGACCTTGCACCCATGGTGCAAAAGACATCAGCTTGGTGTCAAATGATTCTCCACCTATCCATTGCCATTCTCCATTTATTCTTGTTCCACCAGTAAAGAAAGATTCCTCATTAGAACCTGGCCAATTCAGTCCCCTGCGTTTGATTTCACTGTATATGAAATTCAATTCAGCTTGTGTTTCAATAGCAACAAGATTCGCCTTCATGGCCTGGCAGAATATAAGCGCAATTGATACCAAAATGTTGGCTCTCTCGTGACAAAATTGTAGCATGAGCCAAGATCAGCATTGTGGGTAAAACTTGAAGGACAGGTCTTGGCTCCATCTTTAATGTCTTCAATTTAACATTAGACTTGTTTTATTTCAAGCGAAATTATTAAAGATATTAAGCATAATGTATTCTTAGCTTGTATTCGCAAATGCAACTAACGCCTGTCAGCTACCGGATTAACCTTCTATTTTATGGGCAACTGATTTAAATATGAATAGTACCTACCACTATTCCATCCATACTTAAATTAGTTGGTCATAAAATAGTACTTTAATCCGGTAGCCGGCAAGTGTGAGTTGCATCACGAATACAAGCTTAATCCCATTGAAACATACCATTGGATAGCATGGAAAATTGGTGATTTTATTTTATAAACATCTTGTGTCAAAGTAGGCTTTTTGATAAAGGTGCCATGTGCAGTGAAACCTGTATTACCGACCAACTCTTTCATCTGAGCACCTCTCAATGTGAACATTTTTTCTTGGTGCCAAAAGATTGGTATCCATATGGCGAATTGAATTCAACATTGTTATTCTCTGAAACCAATTATTGAAAACATTCTGTAAAAAACACAGTCCTTTATGTAATGGTCACAACAATTTAATGTGAAAATTATTTACATAACTGTTTTTGTTAACATTTTTTGTTTTTTAGTGCAATTGTTTTTTGTTCCTTTCTACCAATTCCTTGAGAATGAAATAAAATATCTTTCTGAACCTTGTTAGAACAAAATAACATATAACATGATTATACAACATTTTCTTAGACCTCTCAATATTATAGTTATACAAAGGAAAGTTTGGTTCATTTAACAAAAAGTATTTAGTTAACAACTGTAACAAGATCCTTTTTTAAACTACAATATTGAGAGACCTAAACATGTTTTGTATATCTCATTTTGTTCCAAAAAGGCTTCGGATTGATGTTTCATTTCATTACGAACATATGATACCATGAACAAAAGAAGTATATATATTTTTTTCAAATAAAATTGCAACCATTCAAAAGATGATCATTAAATTCATGAAGTGTAAAATTTCCTAAATTTTTTGATGACTGGTTTAAGAGAAATGTGTGTTCAATTCAATTCGCCATATCGATACCAATCCTTTGCTATCTCATTGACTCACATATTTCAAAAGCAAACACCCTCTAAATGTGAACACCCTCTAATCAGAACATCTTTTGCTAGTTCCAGAGGCATTAAACAGGTTTTACTTTACTTGTATGACAATAATGATATAGTATTCTATATATCTACTATTACATACCTTGATTCTTGTACTGTTCCAATTGTCTTATCAGAATGGCAACGTTTTTCCTACATTCATTCAGGTCGCTCCTGCAATTAGCATTAGCATTAGCACTCCAAATCTACTTTCTAACAAAATCACAATGGTAACCACTACATATGCTATGTTGTTCATCATGTTCTCACTTGGATGTCTTTGTCAGTGAGAATCGTTGATGTGATCTGGAATGTTCATGCTTTGCAAAATTGTATATAAATATGTTATTGTTTTGCATCACATAGCATATCCAAACAACAAACACATAAGTTTTATTCAATATTTTAATTTGTCATTTGTCACTTTTCAATCCAAACAAATGGAGTATGCCATTTTAACATTTGCCTGTAATGACTATTACAGTATATTATCTGTAAATTAAGGACTTACATAATTTTATATTTATTTGAGTTTATATAATATAACATTAATATAATTAAAGATTTGTTTTTTTTCATTTATTTTATATTATAAGCATAATGAATTTGTTATTCCATTGGAACATATCATTGAACAAGAGCATGGTTTTATTTATTTAAATATCTGGTATCAAAGTACGCCTTATAATAATGTTTCCTTTTAAAGCGAAACCTCTATGTCTGAACATCTCTCTCATTTGAACACCTTTCAGTGTGAAGACTTTTTCTTGGTTCTCTATTTGTTATCTCACATTGACTCAAATATTTCAAAAACCTTGAACTGTGAACACCTGGTAATCTGAACACTTTGTGTTAGTTTTAGAGACATTCAGAGTAGACAGCTTTTACTTTACTATTATCTGTGTAATAATTTTCAGATTTCAAACAAAACAAATAGAATGTTTACAAAATACTTCTATAATTCCTGTTTACTTAAAAAATATCAATCTGAGGCATAACTGTTAGAATTGTAGAAGTTATAGCTATCAATGTCTTTTTTAATGTTGATAGACAAAACTGAGTTTATTTTAGATTTAATGCATTTAGATAATTTTGAGACCTTCTAAAGATAAACAATGTGTTTGTTTCAAACTTTTGTACAGTCTGTATACAGGCTGGATGTTACGATTATCTTTAACTGCTCTCTGATAATTTTTTGTGTGGTGATGTTTGTAATTTCAAGTAGCATTCAATTTCTCTTGAATCATCATCTATAAAGAAGCTATAAATTATTTTATTGGCTAGTTTCTTATGAGCAAATGACCTCTACTCACACTGCGTGAAATATGGGATTCCAACTCTTGACACGTCTAGAAACTGGTCTTTACACGCCGGGTTTCTAGACGTGCCAATTATTTACACCTCTTGACACGCGATGAATTCAACTCTTTACACCTCTTTGCACTTCTTGGCACACGCAGTGCAAAGACGTGTAAAGACCATGTCAAAAAGTCTTTACACGCCCTGTGACAATTAATGGAATCTCTTGACACGCTCTTGGCACACTGAACAACATAATTATGTGTAAACAACTAACCTAATTACCAATAGCAATACATACAGTATTTTAACGATTGCAAGTATTTTCTCTGATACTTTTAATTGATATATTTTTAATCATTCTTTCGCAGACTGTTTGGAACAAGTACATGTAGCAAATATTAAACAGACTATTTTGTATGTACGCTGACACATTGACTTATTTAAACATTTTGGCAATTTCATGGCGCCTTTTGAAAATATAAATCAGTTACAGGCAATGCTAATCGACGCATTGATCCTAACTGAAGGAAATACATATCATGATAAGAAAAAGAAAGGCGTTTCAAGGATAAAACGTGCAATAAACTTTGAAAACACTGATACATCAGGCCTATTTATATATTTATTTTGTATTAGCTTAATATAAAGATAACCTTACTTTTCGATGAGTATTTGGATTTCGGAGTAATTTGTTTCAAGTTAAGTCAATACAAATTATCGCCGACTTAACTTGTAATATATGATAAATGAGGGGCATTTTAATACACAATTGGGCAAAACAAGCATATTCAATCGAATGTACCATTCTCTCTGCTGTTCTTTCCCAGCCTATCCATAAACAGACAGGTACAAGTTCCCATAGTTTTCGCAACATCTAATTCTATGATCAATTGCTAGACACAGCAAATATACTAATTAATTGTCTGATTGTGATTCGGGAACGTAGGGTTTTTACATAAACAGGATACTTGGCTGTACATAGCCTGAGAACACCGGATTGACCCCCCCCCCCAATCGACGCCTAGGCGCTGCTTATGTTTTAATAAGAAACATTCCCTTGTAAAGAATTATCGGGATATAAATTGATACAAGGTCAAGTATTCTGCCCCTTTTGTGTGATAAAAATATGTATTTAATTGGTGCTTTAACTTTTTGAACAAAGAAATGAAATAATCGCACTGAATGTCTCAACATAAATCAGTGATGTTTAATTAATAAATGACACTATTATGTCAGTCTACGCACTTCATGGACATGGACATGGACATGGACGGTTGGGTGTGAGTTACCCATTCTAAAATGGTTAAATTTTGTATTAAAGAGTAATCAATAGGTCGTGAACTCCGATTGATAACCAACTGTAGCATACTACTTAATTTGTTTGACTATTGATATTAAAAAGGAGTGAATTTATGATATTCATAGAGGTACCTTGTATTGGTATTAATATAATAATGATATTGGGGACCATAAACCACTTTGTTTCGCAAGTAGCTTTAGGATCGCGGTTTTATCTTCACATGTTGCCCTTTGTGCAATTCGAAAATGAAATATTTTAATCTATAATTTATATATCA